TCACGGGAAGGATTGAGTTGGTAGTGAATTGAAATGAAAATATAATATATATGCTTGGATTCGTGGCCGCCCAGTCATTTTGAGCATGGTTTTTTTTGCTTCTCGGATCACACGTTCGGAAATGGAGTGTGTAGCCTTGTCATTCTCTTAGGAGTAGTGAATCTAGAAATGGATAACTCGCTAAAATGGCCTCTTTTCAAAAAAGTAAGCTATCAGACAACAAGCCATGCACTTTGGAAGTAAAGTGAGGTATTTTTATTGAGAATTTGACAGTATTTTCACTTCCTAAGAGCGGTCGTAAATATTCTATATAATACTCTTATTTTTCAAGATGATGCAGCCAAAAATTGCGAATTGCAATTACTTAATGACAAATATTGGTCCGTGATGATTCCTCTAACTATTTCGTTTTACGTCAAAACTTTAATTCTCCTCATTCCTATGAGTAAAGTCTTTTCATCCCCTCATCCAATTTCCTCTAAATTTATTCAAGATCTCTCCAGAGAAAGTGCACACCCAAAGGTTTCAGTAATTGATAAGTTCGTCTGCTGGCTCGAGCCCTAAGGAAGGGGAGACCAAAAAGACTACCAGTCAGCATGATCGTGCACATTTTAATTTTCTGCCTTCTAAAATGAATGATCGGTCGTTGGCAGCCCAAGAGCCGCGATTGTGTAAATTAATCACGATATGTGCGTAACACTTGAAACACAAAACCAAATATTTCTAGTGCTGTAATTAAGCTAAGTTACTTCATAACTGCAGCGTAATCAGCGATAATCATCAACATTTGAATCCTGACTGGTTGTTTGAAATGTTCAAAAGCCAACAAAGATTTGACTACAGTTGATTGCGTAACGGGTTTATGCCCAAACGAGCAAATAAGGCGACATATTGTTTACTCCTCATAGTCGTATAAACAAAATCATTTTCCTCTCAAAAGCTTAGGTTCTCAAAGAAATACACTTCAAGTAGGGAAACGAAATTAGTTTCTTAGTCATGACCAATGATTCAGAAGTCACAGTGTGTTCATTCTTAACCCTTTCACCTTCAGAGGTGATCAACATGTAACCTCTCCCTACAAGATCCATTTATCATCCATCAAACAGGATATGAGAACACGCAAACTTATCAGGCAGAAGTTGTTATCATAATTCAAGTTCCCATGACTAGGAAATATGTGGCAGGAAATATGTGGCAGCTAGGAGAAGAATAACCATCAGATTTTAGGAGTTAAAGGATCAACTGTATCACCTGATAAATGTCATATTTTAAGCATTCATCTTGGATCGTTTTAGCCCAGTTTCAGTAATTGGGAAAAGCCTTTCAATTCTACCGTTTACTAGTGTAGCCAAATAAACTTTTACACCCTGAGATCAGTCGGCATATTCTCCATACTGTTCTCTATACATTTTCTACGGTGCTGACAAGGAAAATTCGTTTAACAATCAAGAGCTTCTTTAGTTGGTGATCATTTCCTTTATTCTTGTGATCTTGATGCTGGATTTAGGGGTAATATTATAAGAAAAAATCAAACGCTTGGCACTCTTAGGAGTTCAAGGGCTAAACACCCAAGAGGCAACTATAACTAAAAGGAACGATGACCGAGGACACTGATAAGATTAAAACAGATTGCAAATGATTACAAACTTGGGCCCTTTTTTTCAAACTGACCAAGTTGTGACTTGAATAAACCTGCCTGTTGTTTTTTTTTTAGTTAACAAATAGAATTAGCTCGCGGTTACGCCCTTAATACCAAATCATACCAAATTATAAAGAACAGTGATAAACCGCACTAACTAAATTAAGGAAACCGTCCATAAGTTTAGCAAATATTGTTATGATCTTATCGACTTAGATTCATAGTCTTGTAACTGACGGAAATGATGGATTGTTCAAGCCGCACAAACCCATCCTCATAAACAAACGACATAAAAAACGGAGTAAAGATTCACAACTTAAGGGGGACCGGAAAAGAACCTGATAATTATTCTATAACTCTCTTGCTCCTTAAATTAAATGAAAGACATTGCGTGTCCAATGGTGAAGTCGGGTTAGTGCCACCTTGAAAATTTAAGCCGTTTACAGATTAAAATTGCAGTTGATCACGCCTAATCCCGGAAAAAGAAACATTCTTGAGATTTAAAGTCTCTCGCTGAAATTAATTGCCCATCAGTCCTAGAGTGTAAGATAAATAAGATTATTTTGTGACGTCACACAGGAACAGGGAGTGACCCTCTTCTCGATAAAGACTGTTGAATAGTTTGCAAATTACGTTCAAATTTCGTCATCCGCTGATTGCGTAAATTTTGTTTTAAGTTCATGATTTGCTATGCGAGGGTCCTCATAAGGTTAACCTAGAAGTGCAGGCGTCCTATCAGGGCGAGTTAACGTTACAACTTCGCGATCATCTATTCGACCGGCCATGTTTGATTTTGAGTTCGAGTGGACGGTGGGGGAAGGAGGCTGGGAAAGTTCCATTGATCCAACTCCTCCTCTTTCCTTTATTTTGATCGTCACCCATCTTCTTGGTACAAATTCCTCAATTTGTCTCCTTGGCCTTTCTCTGCGTTCAAAAAAAAAGATGGCAGATATAATTTTCATCAAGAAAATACTAAGCGCTAGCTCGCCGAAATTACGCCTGTTCTACGGGCTACATTAACCACGAGTCACGAAATGGACAAAAGTTTATCTGTTAGGCGTAAAAATTGGTAAATTTCACTGTTAGTCGCAAGAAAGTTAAAGTTAACTGTAGAAATTTCTTCTAATTACGATGCAACATTTAAATCTTCGACTGTTATGTGTCTAGTCTCGCGTCTATTGCAGTTACGACGGTTACATATCCTGGTATCTAAAACAAAGAAATATAGCTCAGTTACCTAAAGGCTACCGAAGTAATCAGATGTTATGTTACAATTCTTATATAATACCGTAATTACTTGATTAGTTATCCATGTATGTATACATGAGGGGACGCAAATCGTCTGTACTGTAAGTATCCCGGAGAGTCCCCTACATTTTCTTAGACTTTTAGTCTAAGAAAATGTATGGGACTTTTTGAACGCTGTAAGGTGTCATAATCCTGTTGCTGCTGACATCGATGTGACAGATAATTGCTTTTGCACTGTTTTCTTTGCCGGCTTATACTTGTCATCAAGTTTCAGTAAGACGGCTATCATTTTTCACAAGAATAATGAAGTTCTCGTAAATTGTGAGATCGGATGAAAGAGCACGTGTTCAACTATTTCCCTCTTCTTGCGGAGCTTGATATGTACTTACAGTGCAGACGATTTGCGTCCCCTCATGTTTTTATTCCGGAATTGACCCGACCTCAGCAGAAAAAGGCAGGCCGTAAATGTGATCTAGACCGGTGAAAATGTTCAACTTTCCAGGTAATTGAAACTAATTTTCAACTTATTGATATAACTGAAATTAATTTTCAAAATTTTCTTTCAGCCGTAAGGAAAAGAAATTCACCAGTTTGCCGTAAAAGGCTTTACCTTTCACCTAGTCTCGTATCCAGACCTTCCACGGCCAAGCGTCGAGATGGTTCCCAAATTTCAGTTACAGTTAAACGGTAAACTCTTCTATTTGTCTCCATCTTCGAACATTTTCGGGTTATTCTTCCCTTTTCTGCCTTATTATGCCCCAACAAACTATAACTTTAAGGCATTTTTGAACTTCAGTTGAAAAGATAAAAATCCAACCCTTTCACCTTCTAAATTAGTGTATGCCCAGCTAGGTTTAATTTGGAGAAGGAAATATGATATATAGATACATGTGATATAGTTCTCGGTTAACAGAAGAAACATGAAAAAGGGGGGCTCTTGAGAAACGGCAAGGGCCATCGTCCGTTCCCCTGACAACCGCAGACGCTGTTTGTCGATTTCCCGCTGCTTCGCACGTCTCCAATGACTGGGAGCTTTGAACCATCATAGTGGTCAAACTTCTGCTCATGTGCGAACGTTTTTAATGACTAGCTGTCAGGCTGTTAGGACCACGATGACTCACACGAGTTACAAACAACCACTGAAGCCAGTAAGTCACAGCGTTTTAGAAACGAATAACTTTTTTCAGTAAAGCCTAAAAAGAGAATGATATATCAATACGTGAATAAGCTTTGTTTTCGAAAAGTCTTGGGTTTCTCTTCTCCCTACTTTTTTTCCTTTTTAAAGCAGTTTCGATTTTCTTTCTCTTACTTTGCGAGATCGCAGTTGTTTCGTATATACGTTTTCCTTTACAATTTTGCTCCGGAAATTGGCGCGCGGGCGCCGGCAAAAATGATCCCTTCGTGCATACCCGTGGTTTGACCGGTGCGTTCCCGGAACCTAAAGCTTGTATTAATTCATGTGACGTCACGATCGTCTCTGAAACTACAAACTTATGTATATTTCACAAAATGGCGACTGCTCTATCGCTCGGGAATCAGCTACAGAGATACGCCAATAATACGACAAAGTCGGGTGATAGGAGATCAGATTGAAATGATTTGACCTATCATCAACTGTCAAACCACAAATATCCAACTTAGTATGATTCTTTCACCATGTTTGCATCGGACCGCAATTTGTTAGTTAGCAAGACCACCTTTAAGTGTTTCACCACAACGAAGATCGCGAATTGTCATGCTGCGAAGGAAACATTTTTCATCCTTTGCAAGAGGGATTTGATGAATAATTTGACCCTTTAAAAAACCTCTCTCAAAGTATGAATTTTAGGAGTTGGTTAAAAATTTTCTCTGTTTCACTATGTACGTGTTCTTCGATTTCCCTTATAAATGTAATATTCAGTTTTTCACTCACCGAAGACACAAAATACATTAAAAATTTACAGCGTGTCAAAAAAAGATAATAGCATTGTACTGTTTGGGTTCATTGTTTTATTTGACACTTCATTTACTGTTTGGCCAATAAACCGGCTCAGACGCCCAACCGATAATCGATTTTGCCTCCCACCTTCAACAGACGTTTTTTTTCCTTTTCTACCAAAGGAAAATACTCATTCAATACGACGATCGAGATAAACGAGAGAGAGCATAGTCTATTTCCTGTAAAAACTGAATCTCAACAAAACTAAGGCTGGCAATCGAGAGTTCCGTTGTAAACTGCGGTGTTACAATTTCGGGAAAGTCATCTATTTTTAATTCAGGCATTCAGAATGTTTTTATGAGTTCTTCCTGTGCATTTTTCCGGTAATATAGCATTTCTTTTGAGTAGAATGCATTTATTTCGAATTTATTTATTTAATCTGGATTTACATCAACAAAAGTCTTGGTGACACCTTCAAACTGAACTAGACTCTAGCGATCCTCTGTTATTGTAGATATAGAGACTTTTTACGCATTGAATTTCTAGAACGCGCCTTAAAAAAATGTAAATGTGATAGAGAAGATGGCTTTCCGAGTCGTCAATGACCTTCTACTCCTTTGTTTACTTCAGATTTTGGTAGGTCAACTTTATATTCAAACAATTTTATTATTGACTTCGCTTTTCAATTCCCTTCTGTATTTATGTGTGCGAAAGATAGACTTCCTTTTAAATCGGATCTTGATATCTTCTTCATTCATATTCAGAACGATTTCAACGGAATATATGGCTCACCGAATCGGCGGCTTCAGCGATCAAAGTCTTTCAATGGAAACTTACCCTATCTTGAAAACTCAATACTACACGAGAATTTGTTTGGACAGCGTAACCAAATCCGTGAATCCTCCCTTGTGGGAAAAACTGCGGGTAAATCGCAACAGATGGAAGATTTATTCAAACTTAAAGACAATAGAGATGGAAATTCGCCGATCAACTTGAAGAAATTGCTAAACAGGGTTTATCTCGAAGGCAAATCGACTAAAAAAGTGTATTCTTCGCAGGAATCAACACCATCATATGCTCAATCTGTTCGAAATTTTAACAAGGACTATGTATTTCGAGCCGTTGTTTACGACGACAACTCGAACGCTTACGGTAAGTTAACGTATCTTTAAAGAGCGAAAAAGAAAAATATTTTATTTTTTTATGATTAAAAATATAATTATTTCAGAATTCTAATTTTGTGTAAGGGTTAATTCAGATTAGACTGAAACTCAGTGTGTCTGTGATCGATAGCTGATTTTCCCTGGGAAAACACACATTGGATGATGTGTTTCAGACCGAAATTGAGAAGAGCGAGCTCACTGAGTAAATCAAATGGTAGAGTCATAGAATTACGAACTTTTGCGAAAAAGCCCGCGGCGATTGTAATAGATATAAATATACTTCTGTCTACCAAACGAGTGTCGTATATTGTGTCTTTTTGTATGCAAACCGATTCTCTACTGTGCAGCTGATATGGGTCATTATTAAAAAGACAATGAAATTCAGTTTGCAAGAGGCTATGACAGCCTACATACCGCCCATGGAATTCACGGGGTAGGTTTTTTATTTTAGTTCTGAAAATAACAAGGCGTGCTGAGTTCGTTTTCAAAATTTTTTTTCATGTTATTTTTAAGTCTTTGCTATTTTTGACACAAAAGTACGTTACAACAAGAATCACATTTAACTAAAAAAATAGTAAAAAACCTGGTTTATAAAGATCAGTTGACTCTTTTTTTTCGCTGAGTTGAATTTTTTTAATAACAATTCCACCCAAGCCACTTTCTCAACAGCTTCATTCGAAAACTAATCTTTTACTAAACATTTTATGTATTATTGTTTCTGTTTTTAATCCATTTCGGATTATTTTGATTTGCTGAATATTTCAAAAATATGATAGGCAAATATTGAAGTTTATTGGTGCAGTTACGGCGAAAAAGTCATATTGAGTTCATGAAATTTAGATAAAGAGAGTAAAATTGTCGAAAAGACAGACTTTGTAGTTTAAGAATGCATCAGAGCTCAAGAAATGTCGTACGGAAATTCTCACAAGTCACTGTTTTGATCTTCACTGGAGAATATTGCTTTTCGTCGGAAAAAGGTATACCAGAAATGTTCCCATTCCTGTAATATTCACTAATCATGATTTTAATACTCAAGCCGGTTTTTAAGTTTAATTCAGGGTGGGAAAAATTATAGTATCAAGGAAAAAAATGTGTGAGACCCCTCGCAGAGAAAAATACCATAACGGTGATAGGTTTAAAACGATCTAAAAGATATAAAACACTCATTATACACAACACGACTGGAGAAAATCTAAATTGGTAAGCAAAATCTGCTGGATAATTTTAAAGCAATTTTGGCCGCAGCACAGAGGGGAAAACATTGCCGGCAAATCTCAGAAGTTTCCTTGCGATTGATTTTAGCGAATTCCCGCTACTTTTGCCGATCTTGGAATTTTGTCAATGGAAAATCCTTGTGAGTATTAGCATGTTTCCAATGAAAGACGGAATCAGTTGTTAAATATAATTTTTGGTCATGAACATGTTAAAAAGAAACCATTTGAATGTAGAAAAATAATATTCAGTGTGAATACTTTTCAGTTAGATTTACGTCTGGCTTTCTAAGTTCCTTATAGCTTTTCAGCTTTCAAATCTCTACGAAAAAAATAATAATGAGTCTTTTTTTCAAACGGAAAACTCTTTTATCAACAAGAAGTTTGATATAATAGCTGTGTTTGACGTAATGAAAGCATTATGATTGTACGCGAACCGGTGAAAACCATTCACGCAATAATTGATGAACGGTAAGTACGTCATTCAACATGGCTTTCATTAATAGGAAGAGCACGATCAACACACCACTCAATAAATGGCTTATATTTTTCATTTATTAACAAAAAATATCGTTCGAGAAGCAAACACCAAAACTAGATTACATTGTCTGCTGATGGATGGATCTTTCACCTTTTCACGCAAACCGACTAATCTTGAACAAATTGCACACCATATTGTCTGTTCGCGGTTTTGAACCGCACGACTGAAAGCTAAGATCTGCTTTAATACGTGAAGATTTTCTGATAGATTACTTCTGATATTGCATCTGAGGTATTTTGGAAGCAACAATTTCACAAGCTTTCGCGTTCCATATATGCACGACCTTTTTTTTAAGAGAATGCAAAAGACTCAGAATGAAATAATGAAAGACAGGATCTAAAAATTGAATTAAAATCTTATTTCTCGCAAGAATAAGGTGGATAATTCGAAGACGAAATATTTTGACTAGTAGCCATTAGGAGGTTAAACTAACTGACATATTGTCTGCCAAAAAATAGAAGAACAATTTTCATAACCTTCAACACTAAAAGAAAGGCAAATTAACTTTTTTTTTCTTGCTCCGAATCCCAGTTATTCTTGCATCTGTACGTTTCAGAGATCAACTTACGTTGTTTAATGAATTTTCCTTTTTAATAAAAACAAAGTGTAAAACAGAATGTACTATTTCTGAAAAAGAAAAAAAAATCTGCATATCGTATGTTATGTCTGTACTTTCTTACATGACGCCCCCGTTCTAATTGAAAATACAGTAATGTGAGAAGCTTGCATTAAGATTTTCCAAACCTTTGGAGAAAGAAAGTTAAAAGCGTTTTTGAAAGTGTAAAGCAAATATTTCGCTTACTTCTTGAAACCTTTAGTTTATTTTTAAATCATGAAGGACTAAAAATTTAATTCAAAACAAATGAAACCATGAATTTGAGAAAAGATAAAATTTTAAATTCTGACGCTTTCCAATGATAAATGATTGCGCAATTTTTAAATGAGTATTGTGTTTATTGTCTTCCACGTTGCTTGGCCTTTTGGCACATTTTTCACCAGCTTTAATCTATTTTTCCCTTTTCAAATAAAGTTTATCTATACCATTCATCCTGTTTTCAAGGTGTCAGGTTTTATAAAGGAATGTCAGAGCTAGAAGTAAATAATAAAATTAATCTGCCAAGTATATAAAATATTCTATATTTACCGAAGAGATATCAAGTAAAGAAGGAACATCGTAGGAAGATCCATAATTTTGAAATTGCCCACGTGTTTTCTTCTAAATTTTGTTATCCTTATTGAAAGCACGACAAAATTTCCGATTTGAATGGAAGAAAGTCTTTATTTCAATTAATTTCTTTTCCACTTCAAGATTTCTTTGTTTAAAGGATAAAAGAAAAGTATAGTTTCGTGTAAATCGGAATATATCTCAGGAAAATGTCTTCTTTTGCCAGCTGAAATACTACGTAGTGGTTTTGTTGACGTCAAAGCGTATAATTTGTTTTTGATGGTTTGTGATAAATTGGCATATGTAGCAGCACCCGGTCGCCTGGGCGTATAATTTTAAGTGTTTGTTGGTGGGAGGTCAAATATGATCATTCACACAATTAGCATTAATTTTAGACTTCGAGAGTGGAAAAAAAACACTGATATTTAATCTAACGATTATGAAAATATTGAGTGTTACAGTGTCTGAAGTGTCTGAGAAAATTACAATTGTATCGAACCTAATATGGCACTACATTGGTATGTTTTATTTCGTTCTCTTATTGGTTAAGAAAACTCTCGACGACCCCTGAAAACATACACGACATGACATGGCCACTCCTGTTTGCCCACGCTTCAAGCATTACTTTTACACGAGATTTCCTTGCGCTCTATGCGGTGGATCTTACTTAAGTGGTGTAATAAAACCCTCTGTACTGTTTCTCATATTCCACATTGTAATTCCTACTTTTACGTGTACAGATAAAACTTCAGTTTGTGACCAATAAAATTACAAAGCTCGTGTGCAGAGCTTTCATATCGACTCTAGGATCTTTGAAATTTTGTAAAGCGCTTATCGACTGAGTTTCGTAAAAGCAAAACCGAAGAAATTAAACGACCAATCCAAAGGAAGAAAATACTCTAAAGAACCAATGAAAACTTGAAATAAAAAACAAACCAACCGCCAAAAGCGCGGGAAAATGTGGGTAACCAGTAATTGCTTAGGGTTAGTTTTGCATGCGATTGGTTGCATGTGATTGGTTGCATGAAAAAGTGGGGCGAGTTTTCCATACCAAACACAGAACGAAGCTACACAAAACCAATGCAATCTTTGATTACTTTCCACACTCAACTGAAAACTGCTATGGCGCTTTAAAAGGGGTGGAACTTTTTTTAGACACTTTGCTATCTATTAGGGGATCGTAAAATCACTTTGCTCATTTTTCAACAGCAGTAGCGTACTCTCCAAAGGAATATTCAGAAACTAATTGGTACATCACCTCTGTGGCCGGGGCCGTCATATTGGTGGTTGTTGTGGCCCTCTGCGTCCATCTCCCTTGGGGTTGCCTGTGGAGGCGCCAACGAAGTGAACATGATGTCGGTTGTCCCATTACAGCCTCAGAGAAACGAATATGCGGAAAATGCATGCTGCACAGAGATGCCACAAAAACCATGACCTATAGCGAAAAACCGCATCAAGCCAGCGTTACCATGGCCACTAGTGACAGACACTATCGAGCAGGTTCAGGAAACTTGTATTCACAGGTAGATGTCCTTAACTCGTATTATGCTTTCTCAATGCTGATTTCTTATAAGTCAAACGGGCACTGATCGAAAAATGAACTGAAGGATTAAGTGACTATAACTGACTTTCTGTCTGTCTGACCGAGAGATTGACTACTGACAAACCAACTAAATAAACTCACTGCCCACCTGAATGACCGAGCAAGTGACCGTCTAAGTGACCAACGGCTGAATGACAGATTGTGAGTCAGTTTGAAAAATGATGAACTACTAGCTCGCTTTGCGATTGACTAACAGTTCAGCAAATCTTCTCAGTATGTAGGATGCCTGTCACATATCAACCTAATAGTGGCCTAACTCACTATAGAGGTCTCTGTAGCTTATATGTCGAGAATTAGAGCGCGGAATTCGATGGTATGGCGTGAATTCGATTCCTCGCGTAAACTCAGTTTCTCTTTGTTTTACGCTCGTGACAAAACGAATGACATCTTTCGATAGCAGCTAGTATGTTTAAAGAAATTAAAGAAACGGAAGGCATAATCTCTACCCTTGTTTACCTGTTTGATTTTTTTCCACAGAACTCTTTGCCGCATAACAATAAACAATCTGGGAAATTAAATCAAGCTAAAAGTAAAGTATCCAGCTTGTTTAAGGGATCACACGGAAGCCACTCCTACGAACCCGCGAAATATCGATACAAACGTCTCAGAGCTACAGAAAAAGAGCAATCACAGCACACCAACTATGAACCTGAATGGACGAGTATCGGTGCGTTCTTAAATCGAAGACCCAGCTCTTACGGAAGCACTAGAGAATCTAAGGAGAAATTTGTGGATCGCTACGGAAGACGGTCACGCGATTCACTGGACGCAGACGACGAAGTGGTAGAGTATGCTCTTAAACTCCGCCCCCGGAGACGTCAGATGATAGAGCTGCAGGAGTTCCCCCTGGGATTCTCGAAGAGCTATCTAAACATCGATTTAGAGTCTGACCCCGGGGTTGTTTTTGACCCATGCCGGGATCAATTGTTCAGGAAGAAGACTAAGGCCTCCGACAGATTGACTTTCTCCGACTCCGATTTAAGAAAGCTTTCCTGTATGGACAAACTTGGAACATACAATGATTCAGAAAATCTGTTTGATGGTGGAAAACGAAGGAAGAGCAGTTTGAAAACAAGATCTAGAAAAGGGAAAGGAAATGCAAAAGTGGTGACCTTCTTTCCATCCAACTTAAGCTACGATGCACAATTTGTTCAAATTCCTCCAAGAAGTAAAATGGCGGAAACTGGGGAGGGAGAATTCGAGAAACGTTTTATTGCTCCTCATCGCGAACCTCATGATGGTTTTAAACGCGTTGACACCAAGGCCACGCCCAGCTTCAACCAGACCAAGGCTGTTTATGATGATCTGGCGAAAATCGTTGGAGACACAAAAGATGAGTTTCCTTTTACTGACAGCCAAAAGGCAAAAATCAAAGAACATGCCGTAGATTGCGACACGCATGCGCAAAGTTTCTACATGGAGGCTAAGAGAGATGAAATGCTACAGGCACGTGACTGTGCCAGCTCCTACGTAAATTACGGCTGCAGATCTTCCACAGAAGTATTAACTGAATCTAAAGAAAAACTACCCAGAGACGAAGAAAATGAACGAGATTTGACTAATAATTTTGATTCGTTTTCAAGTTCATTTTCTGATTTGCGTAAAAATGATCTCGGTTACAAGCCGGAGCCATTAGCTGGATTGCTCTCCCCAGTTCGCAGAGCTAATCCAAAGGGAGGCAGCATAAAGGGTATTATGACGTCACAGGCTGCGGGAGACTTGGTTTGTGTAAGTTCATACGTACAACCGCTGAGTATGAGGTGCTCCATGAAAGCAGTCTCCATGTCCAGCGGATGCAATATCTATCAGCCTCAACTTGATGATACGAGGCCATTTCAATCCAACAAATCACAGAGTGACTTTGAACAGGAAGTGTTGTTTATGGAGAAAACTTCATGTTATGATAACCTTCAGCAATATCCTGAAAAGGAAACGAGAACTGAGAGCTGAAAGGTTGTATCATGAAATCATGGGCTGCACTATTGTTTTTGCGAAAATGTGATTGTCAGTGACTTGACAGTTTAGACCAAAATCATTTCTGGCCATAAGGATTATTGTTTCCAACGAAAAATTTCCAATTTCAGTGGCTATTTTAGAGGAGACCTCTTTGGCCACGATCAGATAAAAACGATCAGAAATTTGAAAATTTAGGATCAAATTGGCAAGTTTGACAAGTTCTTTCTCACCAGGTCTGGCTGAGACTAAATGAGATTTAACGTCAAAGGATCATGAACGTACGCATCTCCCAAAGCTCGTGTTTTAGGAAATAAATGAAGAATAAAGTTTCTCCTGAAAATTTTCTATCGACTTTGTTGCTATGTGCTCAGTGTAGAATATTCCCTCTAGTGAATTGCCCCTATATCGTGGGCTCATATTTCTTGGGCAATCCTAAGGGTTTGTGCTGGATAGAGAGCTTTTAACCCTTTACACCCTAACATCAGTACGCATATTCTCCATACTGTTCTCTATACATTTCCTGACGTGCTGACAAGGAGAATTTGTTTAAAAATCAATAGCTTCCTTAGTTGGCAATCATTTCCTTTATTCTCTTGATCTTGATGTTTGATTCAGGGGTGATATTGTAAGGAGAAATTAGATTCTGGTCACTCAGAATTTAAAGGGTTAATACGGGGTAAACTGTTTATTATTGATAGCTTTAGTAAAATCGATTAGCAACAGACGACTTTTAAAAAAATTGATCAATGATATATGTTACAATTTTAACACAGCGCGCATGTGCTCTGAGAGCCTTCGTTGCCATAAAAGACATTTGAGGGGAGAAGCTTTCTCTCACGCAACTGGTGTCATATTTGTGTCAAACAATTTGGAGCAAAACAAAAGAAAGGTTCCGACGGGAACCCTCCCTTGTCAAAATGATACCAAAATGGTGCGTTTTCTTCGTGGATCCTCACTACATGTAAGTAAAAACAGTGGTAACGCCAAGACCGTTTGAGCTACGATTGCGTGACCCTCACGTCACACAATACTCAAACATTATTGGCTGGTTTTTAAATGACGTACTCACGCGGCATACATGAATCTCAAATAATTTTGTCGCCATCAATTTCGGAAGTTACTTTACAGATGGCAGTTTTTGTACAACTACTTTCTAAAAGTACCACCAGGTAAAGTAAATAAAACTACTATTTTACTAAATTATTATCGCTCTAATTATCCGATTTTCTAATTAATCCTATTGTTCTAATTGACTAAGACTTAATTAAATGATATGATTTTGGTACACAAACTCAATTTTATCTTCGAACCGCTCGCCGTTGGGTTCATCGAAAATTTCTCCAAACTTTTTGGCAGAAAATGGTAGGATTTTTGTTCTGAAACTCTAATGGTTATTGAAATTTCGTCTGCGGATTTATCTATTGTGAGGGACAGGATATTTTCAAAACAGCAGTTTGAGATTATTTTGCTCGATGGAAATATTATGAAACACATACTTTCAAGTTTGTTTACGCCATCTTGAGATATTCATAACTTTTGAAGTCCCTTGGAGTGCATTGGTTTGTGAAACACCGTTACTTTAGCTTTATTTCTCTTTTACACTTTCTTTTATTTATTTCTCGTTTTTTTTACCATGTCTTTTAGCGCGAGTGTATTTCCGTCCACATCGGACAAGCTGGAGTCCAAATCGGCAACGCTTGCTGGGAGCTATACTGCCTTGAACATGGCATTTTAGCGAACGGTAAAATCAGCAATCCTTCCAGTGAAATCCATGATGATTCATTCAACACTTTTTTTAACGAGACAGAGGCGGGAAAGTTTGTTCCTCGATCAATTTTTGTCGACCTGGAACCAACTGTTGTGGGTAGGTCGCTAACAATTTGATGAAAATATCCAACTCTACTTTGATTTGATCTGATATTCGCTTCCATAGTTGCCCTTAGTATGAAGGCGTTTATGAAAATAAATATTTTAATAGGACTTACGAATTGCATTTCAAAAGTTTAACTTTCAGACATGAACTTGGCTTCAGCAAGATATAACCAACTTTATTTAAGTGTACATGAATTCTGGTTAATAGAGGAGTAACATTCTACCGATACTAACCAAGCTTTATCGATCGAAAGTGATTTAGCCTTCTTATGAGCTGTTTTGTAGTTCTCGCATTTTCTCCGATAAGGATTATGATAAGTATTTTGGTCCTAAGCTTAAGAGTCATGAAGAACTCAATTTGACTTGCCGTGTTTTCTCCCCTTTGCTCTTCCTTTGTTTTGGTCATTTGCAATTACTTTTGAATGCTCTTGCTCGACACAAGTCCTCAAAGGAGGATATACGAAATTATGCAGTTAAACCACTCCAAAAATCCACCCCAATCGTGTCAAAACTTCGACTGAAATTTTGTATTACAAGCAAAAGAGGTCTGTGGGCGGGAGGGGAGAGAAGGACAGACACTGCTGCCCAACCGTGGAGGAGAGGGAGAAAACTTGAGTTGTAAATGGTTAGTGTCCTGACCTTCTATCAACAAAATGGGAGGTTGCAGGTAGTCACTAAACAAACATCAAAGTCAATTTTTATCCAAAATGTTTGTTGTTTTAGCTGCTCTTGTTGCTTTTGTTTTGTGCTCTTGTTATCGTATTTGTTTGTTTGCTTTTTCGCGATGTAGTTATTTCCTCTGTAAAGATTAGATTCTGGTGATCACTGATCGTGTTTTGTCCGCAGATGAGGCTCGTACAGGAATTTACCGAGAGCTCTACCACCCGGAACAGATGATCAGTGGCAAGGAGGACGCCGCTAACAATTATGCTCGCGGGCACTACACCATAGGAAAGGAAATCCTCGACCTGGTGATGGATAGAATCCGAAGAATGGTCAGTGGTTTTTCGAAACTACTGCAAGGGTAGACTTTAGTTAGGTATCATGTTGAGTGTTGACAGAGTTTGGCCACTGAGGCAGATATGGGTAGGGAAGGAATAGTAGTGAAATTGCTTTTGGAGGGAAAGACTTGAAATACTTTGAAGGTTTGGCTTGCGGTTGACGGAGATGGTGTTTTGGGGGCAAAATGGAAAGTGTGATTGGAAAATGATCTACAACAACTGGTTTCTGAGGTTTGACCCGGTCGGGCCCTTCCCCAAATGAAATGGCTAACAGATGTACTCCAGGGAGGGAAAAGAAAAGCATAAAACAGGAAAACGACGGAAAAAAAATAACATAAGCAAAAACAACAACAACAACAAAAATAATCAAACAAAGAAAGCCCCAGAGACAAAAAGAAATAGAAAACAAACAAACAAAAAACATGAATAAAATTGAGGAACGGTGGTGGCAGATAAAAATGCTTAAGGAAAAAGTGACATAAACAAAACAACAAAACATAAGAAAAAAAAATTAAACTAAAAGTTCACCACCTCCTCTAAAGTGATCAGAAGAATGAATGACTCGGGGCTTAAAATAAAAAATTGTTAAAAAAAAAAATCCCCTGATGAAAAGTACATCTGTTGGTGATTTTATTTGCCCCTTCCTGCGGTCAACCTCACCCTGTTTACAGAAAGAAAAATTACATGTACACCTGCACACACTCATACAAAATTTCCGAAATTTTAGGATATGTTTTAAAGGAGTTCGAAAGACCCATTAGTGATAATCGGCCGTTAGGAATTGTTTCGCTCTGTATTTGTATAAACCCACGGCTGTGGGCTCAAAATATTTGTGATTAATTTTATAACCCTCTTGCAAGGAGGGTTCATGCCATGTGGGGCGGTTTTCGTTTTAAGTTTAGTTTCAATTGCAGCCTTGGGTTTAGACATATTACAGGCGAGTCGGTTCTTGACGTCTGCGCTACTGTTCTGTCTGCCTCAGTTGTGCTTTTTTAAAGGATGACGGTTTAAAATCACGTATTGGAAAATCTGTGGTTTGCCTTTGGGTAGACGAGAAAACTTCTTACTGTATTCTCTACATCGCAGTAAAGAGTTTCCTAGTCTACCCAAGGGCTTTGGTTTATATTTTGCAGGCGGATCAGTGCTCTGGTCTCCAAGGATTCCTTCTTTCGCATTCGTTCGGTGGTGGAACAGGTTCGGGATTTTCTTCTCTCCTCATCGAGCGCTTGGCTGTTGATTACAGCAAGAAGTCGAAGCTGGAGTTTTGTGTTTATCCTTCGCCCAGAGTGTCTACAGCAGTGGTCGAACCTTACAACGCTGTATTGACCACGCATTCCACTCTGGAACATGCAGACTGTTCGTTCCTGATGGACAATGAGGCCATCTATGATCTGTGTCGGATAAACCTGGATGTTGAACGACCGACGTATATGAATCTCAATCGTCTGATCGGGCAGGTAGTGTCCTCCATCACTGCCTCTCTTCGTTTTGATGGCGCATTGAATGTCGATCTGACTGAATTCCAGACCAACCTTGTGCCATATCCGAGAATTCACTACCCTCTGGTGTCCTATTCTCCGATCATTTCCGCAGAAAAAGCCTATCACGAGCAGCTGACCGTGGCGGAAATAACCAACCGATGTTTCCTTCCGTCCAATCAGATGGTCAAATGCGATCCGAGGCATGGACAGTACATGGCTTGCTGTATGCTCTACAGAGGCGACGTCGTTCCCAAAGACGTGAACGCGTCAATTTGCGCCACAAAATCCAAACGCACCGTGCAATTCGTCGAATGGTGCCCGACGGGTTTCAAGGTGGGAATCAACTACCAGCCCCCTTCGGTTGTCCCCGGCGGGGATCAGGCCAATTTGCTCCGGGCGCTTTGCATGCTTAGTAACAGCACTGCCATCGCTGAGGCGTGGGCTCGTTTGGATCACAAGTTCGATTTGATGTTTGCCAAGCGCGCGTTTGTTCACTGGTATGTCGGCGAAGGCATGGAGGAAGGAGAGTTTATTGAAGCGCGTGAAGATCTTGCTGCTCTGGAGAAAGATTACGAGGAGGTGGAGACTGCCCAACCTGATAACGATGACGACGATTATTGACTCTGAGTAACGATTAAAACGAAATAAAAATCGAGTCCTCTTTAAATACATTATACTCAAATCAGTTTGCCTGTATAAACCGGAGAACATCTAACTAAAGATGACAATGTAATTATAAGTTGAATGAGCATGCTTCTACATATCATCCGCCGAGCAAATATTGCTGCCTCGTACTCGAACTCAGACCTCAATCAGAGAATACGGTTGTAGCTGATACAGTATCGATTTTAACACAAAGTGGAAAAATGTGACGTGGCTACAATAGGGGAGACTGGTGACTAAAAATCGTGTCCTTTCTGTCATGAGCCATGACGTTAGGAATGTTCGTTGCGTCTGACAGCGTAACATGGTTTGTGATACATCGACATTTCATCTCTTATGCAATCGGAATAAGTAGACCATGATACCTCAATTTAACTCTGAAGCGTAAAGAATTGGTTTTCATGGAGCCAAATGAAAGTATTTGAAAGATTGTGGCGCAATGTGGACTCTTCTGTCTAAGTGATAATAAAGTTACTTCCTAAATCACTTTTGTTTCAGTACTTTCTTTATATGAACTGTAACCGTCGTGTAGCAAAGACGATACTGCGAGCGAGCAAAAATCGGTGAATAAATACCTGGAGCAGAGAGTAACACTGTGAGAAAGTCCCCACAGGGTGTAGATTTTTCTTTGAATGTTCAGGGATGCAGAAATATGAAACAGATACTAATAAAAAAAAAAAGAAAATTAAACAATGAATGCGGTCTTTCTCCCTGCTCCTAACTTTCGATCTGGCGTTCTTGTTGTCGAGAGAAATAATGTGAACAGGCATGATCGCAGGAACTCTCAATCTAGACTTATTCCCAGTTCTTCCTTGGTAAGATGAATATGCATTTGGTTCAGGTTGTGTTGGGATACATTTCCCTTCCATGTTGTACAATCATATGCAAACATGGTTTACGACTTTTAAGTAGTAGAGTAAAGCACTTCTTTAACTCAGGATAGTCTAAAACCCAAGTGTAGTGTGACGATCAGGGGCGCACGTTCCATTTTTATACTTGCAATCTGTAGGTGTTTTCGTGTCTGACTTTTGTGCACTTGCCAGTGTACGCGCGCAGATGTCACGCAGTTTGAGAAGTGGAGGCGAATAGGGGGGATAACTCTACTTAGAACCCCCTGGGAGGGTAGAAACCTTGAGTACCCTCACTACAATGTTTCTAAGTGGGCGGTGTAGCAAGGTTTGTTAAGAATCGAATAAATAATTTATTTCTAAATTCCCTTACAATTTTACAAAAGAATTGTGTCATAATTCCTCCTTCTCGCTGGAGTCACTTTTGCTATTATCCTTTTCTTTTTCATCGTCCTCGTCATCATCTTCCTCCTGCTCCTCTTCATGCTTCACAACTGCTACAGTAACAACAGAAAAACAAAACAAAACAAAACAAAATAAACAAAACGAAGTAACCCAAATAAACACACATAACATTAGCAAACAAAGAAAAAACAAGCACACGTACGCCATAAAGCTACAACCAGGCAGAACGAACACTCTTCACGACCTTTAGAGAAACGAGTTGACATTGTTTATGAAAAAAAAAACACTTGGAGTTCTTCCTCCTCTTGAAAGAGGGATGGTAGAGGAAACCCGATAGAAAGAGAAGCAACAACAGCAAAAGTGACACCACACAAGTGAATTTCTAGATAAAAGCATTTAAGAGTAAGTTACGTCATTAGCACAGTGTAACTCGAATTACGTGACACTACTATGTTGTCACGCAAGAGACACACAAAACTCCTGCAACTACATTTCATCCTTAATAATGGGGTTTTTTGAAAGTATTAATATAGGCAAAATGTTACTCTAAATTGTCAAAGTTTATAAACGAGCTAAATTATCAATTGTTTTCTGTAAAACTTAAGCTAAATTAAGGTAGGTAGATAAACTGCCTTTCGGCTGAAATAAAAGGAGCTCTTCATTTATATTTTTAAAATCTTTTCGTGGTGCAAAATGTCTCTAAAGAGCCAAGCTTGTTTAGGATCGCAAAGTTCCCAACCCGGCTCAACCAACAATTACAAACAACGGCCCTCTGATTCGATAGATGTATTGATATATTAAACTTTATACGATTCAGGCTACATTAACATCTTTTAAGATGTTAAAAATGGACAACCTCCTGATCTCCCTGAACTTAACTCTCTCTGTATTTTTTTTTTAGAATTTTTATCAAGATTGAAAAAAAATTTATATGATATCAGAAGAATTGATACCTCCAGTCAGGTATCTCAATCAATTAATAGAACATGTATAACGCACGAATTGACTCTACGAAGGCTTTGGTTTTACAGCAACACGTGGTTCGACCTCGGAGGTAAGAAAAAACACGGGGGTCTATCTTGTTCGAAAAAACTCTCTCGGGGGATACCACTAAAATAAGTGTTCAGGCCAAAAAGCTTCAAAAAGTGAATTGGTCTAATTATGCAGATCTTGCATTTCATCTCCACTATCAGACCTACATCTATCACGCAGAATCTTTCTTCTACCTCAGGTGTCCACAACTGTCACGTTCTGAAGTACCACCAAATGAAAGCATACACAACAGTCATAACAACTATAGCAAGCAAGCTGCGTTTCATGACAGCGGCAACTGCACAAGCGAAAAATAATGCGAATAAGACGGAACCAAATTTCATTTGCATTTCGCTGAAGTAGTCGCCCTTTTTTAGCACATCTGCAAGCTCTTCTTCCACTGTCTTTTTGCCTTTATCCGTCTTTTTTTTACCTTTCTTTTTCACACATTTGTCCCCATCACGTTTGAAGCCTTTCTGACAATCGCAGGTGAAACTACCCGGCATATTTCGGCATTTTTCTGATTCTCGGTCGCAGCTGTGTTCGTCTGAGGAACATTCGTCCTTATCTAAATAATAACATAAATAATTTTTCTTCGTTTTGAAGATTTCTCGTGGGGAACTTAGTGGCCTAATGTTTGCCACGCTAGACTTCGCATCGAACTGTCCGGGTTAGAGCCTTAGTTGGCTCCCTTATGTAAGACTCAAACGGTCTTTCGCCATCAGTGTGTGTAGACGCAGCGCTCTAAGCGGTGACCGATTTGGTCGACATGATGGGTGGAAAACACTTCGGCGACCGCGAAAGTCCTCATAATGAATTTCACGAACTATTAAGATGAGAGTCATCATCGCAAGTATTAACGCTACTTGAGCAGTAGACAATTCACAACGAAAAAGACAATTCACAAACTGTGTTCGACGTTCATGTAAGGTGTAACTTAGATAATCATTTGCACAAAACACCATCAATTCTTGGTCGCCATCTTCCAAGGAAAATTGCGACTAAATATAATTTCTGGCGACCATGTCATGGTGTACGATCGCAAACTGGCGACTTTCAAATATCTTAGTTCAAATCTTCTTGGCATTTGACGAATCACAGGGTGGTCAACTATGAAAGGCTAATCCTGGCGACCAGGCCCTCATCATTGGTGCTTTGGCACGAGTGTTTCTTCGCCCGCGGGAAAGTGTGAGGCCTTAAACAACGTAAGTTGCCGCGAGGTCTGCAAGGTGCCTGGCACTGATTATTAGAGCCAAACCCCCTGAAAACCTCTCCGTGATTCGCCTGAAATATTTCCACGGACAGAGAAATACCCGTCTTGCAGCGCTACTAACGAAGCCTTGCTCGCGGGCTAGACTGATCCCGTCCAACAGGACTGAGGAGTTGCAATTCTCCAACTCGCTTTATGCTACGGAAACTGGGTTAACCCTATAACTCCCATGAGTGACCAAGACAGAATTTCTCCTAACGCTATCAATACAATATCAAGCAGACAAGTGATGAGAATAAAGAAAAAATCTTGATTAGGGGATTATTACTTCATCCAATATTAAATTCTCCAAACTAACATCACAAGAACTATATTGCAGACAGTAAGGAGAATTACTAATGAGATCTTGGAATTTAAAGGGTTAAGACAGGTAGAACCGTTTAGCTTGCGTTCACTGTTTATCCCTGATATTCTCATTGATAGAGAAAGCGTATTATTACCTTTACATTCATTCTCGGTCATCTGATACCCAGCGTTGCATTTTGTACAACCTCGAGATCCCTCTCCAATACAAGTCTCACAAGCAGAGTGACAGGCTGAAACAGGAGTACGGTGAATTAAAAACAACTTCTCCTTAAATATCAAAACGTCTTAAAAGGGACAGATGGAAAACAATTATGACAGACAGAAAGATTTCTTACAACGACAAACAAATGATCCAGGGGTATTGTCACAAAATTTTCCGCTGGTACAGATGGTTGAATTCTCGGAACATTCGTCCACATCTAAGGAAAAAAAATTTCAAGTTACTTAAATATTTTAAAATATATTCGAACTTAAGTTCACCTTCTGCAACTAGTTATTCAGTCCAAAATGTGGTTTTCAACAATTTGCCAGAAGCTTTAACGAGCGCTAAGGCAGCACTTTTTGACAGCGGAGTTGGGGGGGGGGGGGGGGGGGAGGTGTTTCCCCATACCACCGTCTTTTAGGAATTTATACCAAGGTAATTCGCATGTTCTCTTGGACAAACCTCCACCCTTCTCCCCTAGTCTACAGCTGAGCTTTAGTTCAACAACAAATGCAATTTCGTTATTTTCAAAACTGAATTTCTACTAACTTAGGCTGCTTTCTTAAAAGTGTTGAGTGCTAAGAGCGTTTTGTGGCATTTTTGCAACAAATAAAACCTCGGCGAGATATATCTATCACATCCCAAGTAACAAAGTGCTCCTCATTTCAGCAGACGCAGTACTTCTTGTGATAAACTAACCTTTACATTCTTCTTCGTCATTCTTAACATAACCGCTGGCACATTCAAGACATCCCTTTGGACCCTCCCCAGTGCAGTTGCCTTCACAAGAATCATCGCAGCCTGAAAAAGATACATATGAAGTAAATTGTTAAGTCACTTATTATCTGTCCGAATGGAGGGATGGATCGGAATAGCCGCCATTTCGTAGCCCGCTCGCTCTTTAGCTGTCCCGCAAAGTCTGAGAGCCTTGGAATTGCCCGATCTAACGGAGTAAGGTTTTCTTTAAGTACAAGATGATGGCCATTCATTTATGTTTTGGGTCTTCGAATGAGAATTTGGTAACAACTTCGAGACTACGTTTGCGAGCAGTCAATCAAACAACTGAATGTCGGCGAAATGAAAATCACTCAATAAACTCGCCACGATTAATGGGTCATACACATTACCTTTACAAACAAAAGATCCTGGATTATTCATACAATACTGTCCCTCTCCACAGATATCTTCTTCATCACATTCATTTTTATCTGAAAAGAATAAAATACATTAATCAAAACAACATGCATCCCGTCGGTTGTCAAAACTCAAAAGTAAGCATAGGGTATGCTTGCTATGGTTTTGAGTTCGCTGAGCTCCGTTTATTTTCCCGCGCTTCTCCCCGCTACTTATGTTTTCCCGCGCTTGGCTTGCGTTGTACGTTATCCCACCTGTACGCTCAATTCCAGTCTTAATGCCTTTGCATCGCCTTTCCATTTTCCCGCGCTTTTATTCGGCAACTTGCTTTCCCTATCCCTTGCCTTGCTTGTAATATGCTTAAACTTTAACTTTCCCCTCGCTCTTGGAATCCGTTAAGAAAGGGCAGGAGCACAGCTCTCGGGCATACATGGAACTACACAGTCGCGCCAAATTTACTTTTCAATAAATACCTTTACATCCATCTTCGTCTGTCATATCCCAGCCTCCTTTGCATTTCTCACAGTCTTTGGGTGAGCCGCCAGAGCAACTGTCTGCACAAGACTCGTGGCACGCTGTTAAAATTAACAACAGTTTGTTATCAAGTGCCAGCTGTTTATGTAACAATACATAACACAAGGAGTTGCAAACCCAAGATATTTTGCAGAATACATACCAGTGCATTTAGGCTTAGAATTTTCATCTTGCTCCTCGAAATACAACTCCTCGCACTCATCACATAAGTCACCTTCATACCCGCTGTCACATGAGCACTTTCCTGTTCCTTCCCTTGTGCCGTCGCCCTAAATATCATTGCAAAGATATTTATTATAAACCTAGGGTACTTTTCACAAGGGCACTGCAATTCCTGACATTTACTGAAGATGAAGTAATCAGGTCAACACTGTGCATGTGTTTTACTCCTTGCAACACAGAGCTGGTATTGCATAGGTCCAAGAGTTAATTCCGTTACAACAGTTTATTTTTACCCAGCAAATGTCTTAGCTGTATAAAAGTTCAACCCTTTCATTCAAAATTGATACTTGCATACCTCACATTTTCCATGGTCATTGCAAGGAGTATCTTTTCCTCCTGAACATTCTACAGATTCAAAATAATAGAAGGAAAACTTTTAGAAAGAGATGAATTTACTTTTCAAATGAGCAACAGAAAATAAGTACATACAAAATTGGTTCACATTAGCTTAAGTTGAAAAGGGGCCAAGGAGACTTACTCATTATGACAAACATGGGGTCTGACATTGAACAAAACATTTGTCTGATCATTAATAAATTAAAATGAAAGCCATTTCACTGTGAAGAACACATACAAAGTGAACACTGTTGAAGTCTAAAGCCGTAAAAGGTGAAATTTGCAAATCATCAGTGGTAAATGAAGACTGCTAAGTAGGCATACCTTTACAATCTGAGCCATAAGTACCATTAGGGCAGCACACTAGAAAAAAAGAAAAGAAAAAACAAATTAAAATAATGAACTCCAGCTAGGAAAGTGATAAAAAGGAACTCTCAGTATGTACAACACTTACCTTTTAACTTGTCGATGCAAAACCAAGTATTCATGTCATCATTTTTAAACTGGCTGTGAAAAAGAAAATAGTCATTAAAGGGTAGGGCTGCATGTTTTTAAATAAAACACTTTTGATATTTTTGGGGCACAAAACTGCTGCACTTAAAGAATGTCATGAGATTTCCATGTGACTTCCCTGAAATAGGATAATAAACTTCAACCATCAAAACCTCACTTACTGGGTAAACCACCATTCCTCTAATGTTTCTTCTTGTTCTTCAACCATTGCATGGCACTGTAAAAAAAGAAAATAAAAAGGAAAATTGACAATCAAAGACAGTTTATTTTCTAGGAGAAGTCAAGGGGACTGAACCATTGGCTAGCTTGTGCCCTTCTTCAAGGAGGCATAAGAAAGACAGAATGATGGCAAAAATGCAAAATATCTCTTTAAAATTTTATCCTCCGCAAATTGCCTTCATTTAAAAGCCAAGTTACTTTGCGGAATTTAGAATACTCCAATCCTGTGACTTCACAGTAACTTTTTGAACTAAAGGGATAAATTCCAAAGAAAATTACCTCTGAAGCACTATCTTCACAAAGTCCTTCCATAATTTCAACTAATCTGGTTTCACTAGTCAAAAAGAAAACAAAAGAAAATTAACCACCAACTGTTTGTACTAGAAGTTTTTTCCTTCAGGTATAAACCTAAAATAAAAAGCTGCACTCTTTCAAAAGGGTGTGGCATGAACTCTAGGGTATTATTTAATCCACTTAACATGGTACAAATTTGTTTGTGCCCCACAGTACATCATCAGTCAGTGTTTTTTCCATAGCAGAGGGATTCCAGACTAGAGATGTGGTATCACCAAGAAACTGGTAACTTTCCTGAGTGTATCAAAGAAAAGGGACAACAGCCCACTACAGTCAAACCTGTATTAGTATAGGTAATCACATGAGGCCAAGTGTATCAAAAACTCAAGAAAAGGGGCAAAATTTATACAACACGCGCGCAGTCTATTTTTATCTGGGAAGCAACGGATTAGTAATGCAACGGATTAGTCAATCATTAACAGGTAATCATGCCCTCTCTTGATTACTAAAAATGCCCTCGATTAAGAAAAAAATGCCCTCTCTCTCAACCAATCAGCGCTCAGTAATTTTGCCCTTTATTGATAAATCCTTTAACTCCCATGAGTGACCAAGACAGAATTTCTCCTTACAATATCAATACAATATCAACCAGATAAGTGATGAGAATAAAGAAAAAAATTAATGTCAATTTTGGGGATAATTGGTTGATCCAATTCAAATTCTCTGAACTAACATTATAAGAACTGTATGACAAACAGTAGGGAGAATTATTAATGAGATCTTGGGAGTTAAAGGGTTAGGCAGTCACCCATGGGTAATAGCGGGGTGACAGTTTAATACAACAAGTTGACCCTTTAATACAGTGTGACCAGCAAATGACTTGCGCTTTGTTTGTGCATAATAGTTGTCCTAACAGTCCAAAGAAAAACAATAATCTGCAATAACTTGTGGGAATTCTCAAAGTACTAACATTGATTTTGAGAATAAATTTGACTTGAGAGATTATTCTTAGTTTTATTTGAGAGGTTCTGCTTTAAGTGGCCATTCAATACAGGTGGAAGACAATAGAAACAGGCCTTAACCTTTAACTCTCAAGATCTCATTAGTAATTCTCCTTACTGTCTGCCAAATGATTCTCATTAAGTTAGTTTGGAGAATTTGGTATTGAATCAATTAGTAAACCCATAATTGATATTTTTCTTTATTCTCATCACTTTCTGTTGCTCACTCACGGTAGTTAATGGGTTAAGGACTTAGTCAAGGAAGACTATTACAGCTTAATAATGGTAATAGGAACGAGTGGGGTCCAATTCAGCCTGTAATCACACGAGTTATTAACAAAATTGGACGACCATGAATGGGAGTCTGATTTGTCAATAATAAGTATGATTACAGACAGAACTGGACGACACGAAGTCCTGTTACCAATTAATCAAACCAATACAATATCTGGAAAGAAAATACAATCAGGACAAACGTCTCCGCTAAGGAAAGTGTCTAAAGCAAAAATTTTTCTTTTCAAGGTAAGTGGTTGTTGCTATGGTTATTGTGATCAATTCTGTGATTGGTGGATTTAGCTGAGTCATAGTAAAATAATGTCATGGTAAAAGTTTGAATAAAGTTTTTTTTTCCAAAAAATACCTGTTTGCATAGCTTCCAAGTTTCCTCTCTTCCCAATCTGTGTTTCCACCACCAAAGTTAGCTTTTGCTGTTTTTTCTTTTCCCTAAAAATAGTAATTTTAATTAAAAATAGATGTCTCAAAGATGCAAATTTATTCCAGTCACCTTAAAACAGCTACAGTCAAATTTTTTATTCCTCACATCTCTCCTAAAATCTGCATACCAAAATATAACATAGGAAAGAATGGCTCAACTTCAAAAAGTTCTGTAATAACCAAAGATTAAACAGCAAAGAATTCACAAGAATTGACAAATCTATCAGCTAGAAGGTATTACCTTGATTTAGCACCAAATTCCCTCAAATCAGTTACAAGGAATATAGATATATAGCAAGATCAAGGGCAAAAAAAAAAATCTAATACTTAAGGTTTAAGAGTTAATTTATGCATTTGTTATATAATTCTAACACGTCTCTCAAACTTTTGTCAAAGTTTTACTGCACATCCTCTCTGCTATAACATTAGAGATATTTAGGCCAAAAATTAGAAAAAAAAACAAAGCAAAACAAAATAAACAAAGGATAATTTTTCCAGAAACAAAAATCGAAACCGTCCATTAAATTTCTATCCAATCTTACGAAATACGACACCACAAAATATACCTAAGCTGACTTAGCCCCATAATTAATAATTTGACAAAGTTCTGTAATGCAATAACTAGGAGTTAGGTGAGATAAAAGCATTTAATATTTACCTTCTTGAAAGCTTCTACGATGTCTTTACACGTTGGGCATTTGGCTTTCTTTTCCCTAGCAGCTGATCTAAGTGCGGTGCACATTAAAATGTTTACAACTATAAAGATTTGTAAAATCAAGGTTTTTGACATCTTCAAAGAGACTTCCATTAGCTCGCACGTGAGAAAAAAATGCTGCAATGTGTCTACAAGTGCAAATTTAACAGCAGAAAATCGAAGGGTAGAATTCTACCACATCATTCGAAAATAGGTTAATATAACTCCGATCACTGAATTAAAGCAAGATTATATTATAGAAAACTGGTCGCATAACATTTCAGCCCGGTGAAATTATCGTGTTTCTCTTGAAGAGAAAACCGCTGGTGAGTCAGGGAAAACCGCGCTAATAGATAGGAGAATAAAGTTTTGATCAGACATTGTACAATAATTTGTATCACCTTTTTGCGTCCTAAATTCATAATCATTCCACGTGAGGTGAGACAAAACATTAAAATATATCTGAAATTTTCAGAGTTGGTAGATCTATTGATCATTTGAGAACAAAGCTAAGTAGCTTTTTAAGAAGTTTAATAGTATATTCTCTCAAATACTTTTTAAACCTCGGCGCAAAGCGAGGGCTCACTCATGGGAATCAATGAAATGACATGGAAAAATAAACCAATCAAAGGGCTCCACGTTAAGCACGTGACTAAGATTAGCCAATTAGAACAAGACACGAGCTTTGGCCGTGGAAAATTTTGGTTGGTTTGGATCGATTGAAAGCTGCATAGTACTTCCTTGCACTTCAAAGTTTAGCACAGATTTTGCGGTACTGCTGTCATTTACATCTGTTTTATCTTGATTTCAAGGAATGGGAGGAAAATCGTACCTGCTAGGCCTCTTGGGGCTACTTCTTATTTCTTGTAAGTGTACTCTTGCTTTTTTTTGCCTAAGGAAAAGTTGAGTTTTGCAAGTATTTCAGTTCGCACAGTTTCCTCGAATAATTTATATGCTCACGAAAAATTTTATTTCGTTTCAATGTACATGAAAGCAAATAGTCTTACGTCAGATTTGCAGGGAAGGTTTCGGCCGTTTTGTTTTAAAAGTAAGCTTCAGAGTATTCGGTCTGTGGGTAATTACAAAATTCGATACGTTTATATTGTCAAGTCACGATCGATTGCCTTTCGATTTCACCACTCACTTGTGTCGATTGGAAACTGTCCATTAGCAACGTACTTATTGGCAACGATTTAGATTCATGTACGTCTACCGTCGGAAATATAACTCGGAAATTGTGGATATTATGAAACGAAACACGGTCCCAAAGGATAATTTAGACTTGTATACTTACATTGATGGTATTGTTTATTATACAATGTTTCTCTGGTATAACTTATTGACTTCAATTACATTTAAATGAATACTCTTATATAGAAAGTGAATTTACAACGAAATATTACATAGTTGAATTATTTTTCCTTAGAGCCACTAGATAATCTTTATTAGATTTCTAACTGAGATGATTTTGAGGGTTTGAGTTTTGGGAAATCCCTTCTTTTTCAAATCATGTTGGAGTGGATTATTTGAAAATTTTTAGGGTACACTTTCATGCATTTAGATATAAGAGGTGGCAAAAAGTTATTTCTGAAACAGTTTCAGTGGAAAACGTCTGCAAAAGCACTAATTCGGGAAGTTGCATTAGCTAATTGTTAGAAAAAGCACTCAAAACTTTTAAAAATCCAGCCCTTGAGATATGTCAACCTGTGATTGGATACTTGCTATCAACCAATAGGAATTGGCCAGATATGTCCAACATCTTGAAGATAAACAAATACTTGTAGCTCATAGAGATTGTCAACTATTTGAAAAGAAATTGAAAGAAATTTGTTTTTATTCAACTTATTTTATTTTATTTTTTCTTGTGCAATTTTAAGTTTCATTAACAATAACATTGTGGTCCACTTGAGCCCTTTGTTATAAACAATGTAGTTCTTTAACGCAGGTTTTTGAGTTAAGGGATTTTATGTGTTGTTTTGTTTGTTCACCTTACATACTTAAAAAGGTTTTCTCCAGATGTTTCATTTTCAGTTAATGGCATCTTATTGTTTCAAAAGCAAGAGAATTAAAAAATGGAATTATTTTATCTACTGATAGAACAAAATGTCTCTCATGTTGTTTGTAAAAGATACCTGTTTCATGACTATAAATTAATGTGATAATTACTTGGTACTAAAGCTCTCAAGTTGATTTGCTGCTAGATTTTGAAATTTTTGTCTGCACAGCTTATAATTCTAATGCTGTGGGTATTATTTTCACGGGGAAAAATTGTGAAAAAATGACGCAATTATGACATGCATTTCTTTATTCTAAGCCAGAAATTCCACTGCAAGAAAGTGTCTGAAGCATTAGTGCAAAGGGAGTAATGAAATTTAGAAGGATAAATTATTATTTTGATAGGTACTTGACTGAAACAGTGGTTTGCTATCTTGAAAACAACAGTTTAAATCAGAGTGTAGGACTGAATTTATTTGCATGAGTCTTCAGAGCTCTGGGGAACATGTGCAATTGTTAGAGTAGCATCATCTTTGTCTTGTTCTTCTTGGTATCAACTTTTTGAGATGAGATTTTTGTCAGACTTTTCATGGTAGACTTAATTTTTGTGTTCCTTTTTTTGTAGCTTTTTGCTTGGCAGAAGAAGAAAAGACAGAAGAACCAACAGAGACAGAACCACCCACAGTAGATGAAGATGTTGGAAAAAGTAGAGATGGATCTAAGACAGATGACGAAGCTGTCCAGAGGGAGGAGGAAGCTATCAAACTGGATGGTTTGAATGTGGCCCAGATGAAGGAACTTAGAGAGAAGGCTGAGAAACACACTTTCCAAGCTGAAGTTAGCCGAATGATGAAGCTGATTATCAATTCTCTGTACAGAAATAAGGAGGTAGGAGAAACTTGACAGCACTTTCTATGTTGACCATTTTGGACGTGTTATGGCGTAAGCAAGATCTGAGGAAAAAAACTACTGGCTCTAGGAACTCTAAAAAGTGGATGGTTGATGGATGATGTTTAGCCAGAATATTGACTTACAGCCAAAAACTCCACCTTGCGTCAAGTTGATAAATTGTGTACATTTTGGAAAGTCTTTAATGTACAGTCATCTTAACTGTAATTTAATGAATGAGATGGGTCAGTGTTGGGTTCTGAACAAGCTCAAATTTCTTTGGTCAGTTGGCTTCATTGGCCTCCATTCAAAAATTTGTTTTAAGCCCTACTTTTACATTCAGCTTGATCTTTAAATGTGCACTTTTCAAAATCTTGAAGGGTAGAAATACAAGCTTTGTTCATACTGTTATACTGAACACTGTTACAAGAAAATTTGTTGTAGACTTCTTGATTATTTCCTTAATTTTGGTACCACCATTAGATGATGTCAATTTGTTCTTAGCATTATTTTTGATCAAAAATAAAAAGATACCTGGTAATAATCGGAGGTTGAAATTATCTTTTTTCTTTCAGATTTTCTTGAGAGAACTTATTTCCAATTCTTCTGATGCATTGGACAAGATCAGATTTTTGTCACTTACGGACAAGTCAGCCCTTGCAGCCACAGAGGAACTGTCAATTAAGATCAAAGCTGATAAGGAGAACAACATCCTTCATGTTACTGATACTGGCATTGGTATGACAAAAGATGATCTGGTCAAAAACCTGGGTACCATTGCCAAGTCAGGAACAAGCGAGTTTTTCCAGAAGATGGCGGTGAGAATTTTTCTGTACTTCCTTTTAATTTTGGTGTAAAATTGTTGAGATTTGACAGAAAGCGGAAATTTGGAGCAGGAAAACCATAATAATCATCCTGCCATGGCTTAAATGTAGGCCTTTGATGCAGAGTGCAGCACACGCTAACCAAATTAGGACTTTGATGGTGTGGATGCTTGCATTTGTAGATTTGATGCAAGTGTCTGGTAATTATGTCAGCTTAATTGTTCAGGGCAATATTCAAAACCCCACTTGTGTACTCCCTTTTTTCAAGGTCTCCCTTACAGTTATGTTTTCCCACAGTCATTTTTTGCAGTGCTGAGTGTTACATTAGTCATTTTGCTTTTGTCCCCATATCCTTAAAGCTTTACTTCATTGAATCTTCAGGATACTCAGTCTAGTGATCAGGCAAGTGATCTTATCGGTCAGTTTGGTGTGGGATTTTATTCAACTTTCCTTGTTGCCGACCGTGTGATTGTAACATCCAAGCACAATGATGACAAGCAGTACATTTGGGAGTCTGATGCAGCTTCCTTCAGCATCACAGAGGATCCTAGGGGTGACACCCTGAAAAGGGGAACAACTGTCAGGTGATTATATCCACTTTTCAAAGTACGTTAAACAATCTGTCCAAACATAGTGTATGCAGGGTGATTTACCAGTATGTGGTATATTTATCAAACACTTTGGCCTTTGGCTTTGAAGAAAAGGTGAAGCTTGGTTCCTTCTCACTGTTTTCTCCTTGTTCTTGACACCAGTTCTTTTCCTTTGGCGTTGTTACCTTATTTTGGTGGTCATTGTGATCATCTATTTCACAATCATTTTATTTTTTTTACCCTTTATTTTAGGACAAATATTCCTATTATGTCTAATGTTGTATTTTTTAGGTAAAATATTTGTTTGAATCTGTGCATTTTAATCAGAAATGCGTGTTTTTCCTCCCCCCTTCCATCCTCCACCTAGTTTTCAAAGAGTTTGACAAATGCTTTTTTAAGAAGCAAGATAATGCCTCATTATTTGAATTATTTGATTATGTATAAAATTGTGTTTTGTCCCATAGCCTTCACCTAAAAGAGGAAGCTCGCGACTTCCTTGAGCCTGACACCATCAAAGACCTTGTCAAGAAGTACAGTCAGTTCATCAACTTCAATATTTACCTGTGGACCAGCAAGACTGAGGAAGTGGAGGAACCAGTTGAGGAGGAAGCTGCTGAAGACAAGAAAGCTGATGAAGCTGCTGAAGATAAGAAAGATGAAGAGAAGGAAGAGGAGAAGAAAGATGAAGACAAAGAAAAGGAAGACAAGGATGATGATGCAGAGGTGGAGGAGGAATCAGAGGAAAAGGAGAAGAAACCAAAGACTAAAAAGGTTTGTCTGCTGCAGGTTAAGTAACCCTTAACACCCTAGCGCCAGTTTGCAAATTCTCTACACTGTTCTTTAAATGTTTTCTTTGTCACTTTCATGAAGAATTTACACAATGATCAAGAGCCTTTTGACCTAGCCATCATTTCTTTTATTCTCATCGCGTTTATGTTTAATTCACGAATGATATTGGGAGAAATAAGATGCCTATCACTGTTGGGGTTTGAAGTGTGAAGGAACTTTTCTCTCTAAGAGAGTAGGAGGATTAACCCTCATAGGAACTGTACTTGTGGCAAACAAATTATCTGTAGAAGGAAGTTTTACTGACAAGTGTTTTGTAAATTTAAACTTGAAGTTTGGAGTCTGCAGACTGCAAATGATATGGAAGTTACAAAGTTACAATTGGATGGAAATTAATGAAGTCACCTTTTTGTTACTTTTGTTTATTTGTTTATGTTGTTGTTTTTCAGGTGGAAAAGACCACCTGGGACTGGGAACTTATTAACACAAACAAACCCATCTGGAGCCGAAAACCCAAAGATGTCAAAGATGAAGAATACAATGAATTTTACAAATCGTTCACTAAGGTATCTTCTGGAACTGTGCTATGTGTTGTTCTGAAAGACTGATTTAACTTGTACAGTTGTTATTGAGAAACAAACCAGTGTGTAACTTGGAATTCTGTGATCTTAAGTTTCTTTTCACTTTTTGACTTTTTTCTTGGATTGTTTCTTTCCCATGCCATGAAAAATCATTTTACATTAATAAGAAAGATGAAGATACAAAATCTGTGAGTCAATAAGTCAGTAAATGTGTATCTATAGAGGTTTTGTGTGGAACGTAACAATTTGTGTTATTTTTCCAAGTTGTTTTATTTGTGGTAAAGGTGTACGCTTTATGGTTGCATGGAGTATGTCATAGGTTGAGTAAAAATGTACTTAAAAATAATTTGCTGCCTATTGCACTAACTTTCCAAAATTTCATGGTTTTAAATGACACCAATACTGTATTACATATTAACAATGAATGTTATTTATCAGGATCATGATGAGCCTCTTGCCAAGACCCACTTTGTTGCTGAGGGTGAAGTCACATTCCGTTCAATCCTCTATGTGCCAAAATCCGCTCCAAACAACCTTTTCTCTGAATATGGCAAGAAGATGGATCAGATCAAGCTGTATGTGCGACGTGTCTTCATCACTGACAACTTTGAAGATATGATGCCCAAGTATCTTTCCTTCATCCGTGGTGTTGTGGATTCTGATGACCTGCCTCTCAACGTCAGTCGTGAAAATCTTCAACAGCACAAACTTCTGAAGGTGATCAAGAAGAAGCTTGTACGAAAGGCTCTGGACATGATCAAGAAGATCCCCAAGGAAGAATACATGGATAAATTCTGGAAGGAATTCAGCACAAGGTATATAATTTTCTTGCATTATTTTTTTTTCTTTTTTTGTTCAGCCTCTTCAAGTTTGCCCAAAAATCAAAGCTGCTAGAATTGATCTCATCCTTGATTTTTATTAGTTTCAATAGTTTCCTTGGATTGAATCTCCTTGAAATAAACTGAAATTTTTGTTTTCATTGTAGCATCAAGTTAGGTGTGATGGAGGACCACTCCAACAGGACCAGATTGGCCAAATTGCTCCGATTCTTTTCTTCTAATTCTGAGAAGGACATGACAAGCCTGGCTGATTATCTTGAGAGGATGAAGGAAAAACAAGACGCAATCTATTTCATGGCAGGAACCAGCCGAAAGGAGGTGAGATCCTGCACAATAATAGAAATCAGGCCCAGTTGTTAAGGGGATGACAGTGCTCTTCAGTGGATAAATCACTAACCATCTAGATTTATCCAGTGGATAGGGTTATCCACACAACCAGGGCCGGCTGTTAAATACTCTCATACCAGAGCTGATTGCATGATTAGGTTAGTTATATTATGAATGGAAAGGTTGTATCAGAAGAGCTTTTCCCACTTTGCTCGAGTTGTTAGTTGGTTAAAGATGATGCACTAAGGTTACTTCAAAAACTTCTGCTCAAAAGTTTCAAAATTTTGAATATTTTATAATTTTTAAGCTTTACAGTGATATATATTTTTCCATGGTATCTTTCAAAGTAGTGTGCGTATGAAAATTTTTCCAGGAGGCAACCTAATTTGTTGGTAGTAAAGCATACCTTCACATGTTTGATTTGTATATATATATATCTATATATATATATATATATATATATATATATATATATATATATATATATATATATATATATAATTCTATATATATACATGATGCACTGTTGTCATGTTTATTTAAAGGTTGAAAGCTCTCCATTTGTGGAACGTCTGCTCAAGAAGGGTTATGAAGTGCTCTACTTAATTGAGCCAGTTGATGAATACTGTATCCAGAGTCTGCCTGAGTTTGAAGGCAAGAAATTCCAAAATGTAGCCAAGGAAGGTTTGAAGATCGGAGAAGAATCAGAGAAACAGAAGAAGAAGCTAGAAGCCTTGGAGAGCACATACGAGCCTCTGCTAAAATGGCTGAAGGAGGACGCTCTGAAAGATCTGATTGAGAAGGCTGCCATCTCACAGCGATTGGATGAGTCACCCTGTGCTCTTGTTGCCAGCTCTTATGGTTGGTCTGGAAACATGGAACGAATTATGAGGTCGCAGGCTTATGCCAAGAGAGAAGACCCAAGTAATGAGTAAGTGGGAAGGAACTGTAGAAACCATTATATTCAAAGTTGATAGGCTGCAGATTACTTTATCCAGTCTATTTTTTGTGGTGCACATGCATAGTTCATGTAGTTGTATTCTTTAACTTCTGAAGTCAAGTTGGTTTTCTTTGCTGCAACCATTAGGCAAGGTTGTCAAAAGAAGATGGCAACTGGTGCATTTCCCTGTCTACTCTGAAAAACCTGTCAGTTATTTCAAATGCTTGTGGCTCAGTTTTCAGTATGGGGGCATGAAAATGTGCTGCCTACATGTACTTTGTATCATAGCTGGTTACTCAAAATCTTTTTGACAACCTGGTTTATGTTGCCAAAGTATCTGAGTGTTTGATAGGACATGCACATTTGTGCCAACAACCTTTTCATTTTAAAATGGCATGGATTTTCTTGCTACTTCCCTTTCCCATTTGCCATGCATTCCACCTGGCATATGTTAGTAAAAAGTAGCTACAGTGATCTGGCATGATAGTTAAGACCAACTGTTATGTTAATGAAGCTGGTGTTACTGTTACTGCCATCATTTCACTCATCGCAAACTTGTTTCAAAATCAAGACCTTATTATACTCTGTTGTTCACGTTTCTGCATTTGACCACCTCCCTGAACCAGAGATGTTGTTTTTGTTGCCCATAAACTGATTGCTCTCAGGAGACAAGGGGTTGATTGATTTTGTACAAAATTTCTTTCAGATATTATGCCAACCAAAAGAGAACATTGGAGGTTAACCCAAGACATCCATTGGTCAAGGAGCTTCTGAAAAGAGTGGAAACTGACAAAGAGGATAAAACTGCTAAAGATCTTGCCCGTGTGCTCTTTGAAACTGCTACTTTGAGATCTGGATACATGGTCAAGGTTGGTGTAATTAGCTTTAACCCTTGACAGCCTAACATCAATATCCATATTCTCCTCGCTGTTCTCTATAGATTTTCTTCGGTACCAACAATGAGAATTTGTGTAACAATGAAAGCTTCCTAGCAAAAATGGCCTCTTGTGCGGCATCTCACACGGCGTCTTCTACGCGGGTTAATCATTGCAATATCCACGGTTGATAATTTGCTTAATTCCTGTGAATTATTTACTTGATGTATTAGAATTGAAAGAAGATCTTGTAACTGAGGAAATTAATTCTGCAGTGGTACATATTCATTTACATTGTGAATCTTTGTTCAGGACTCCCAGGACTTCGCTGGACGTATCGAACGCATGCTTCGTCTTAGCATGGGAGTAGACCTGGAAGCCATGGTGGAACCCGAGGAGGAAGAGGCAGAGGAGAAGGAGGAAGAAGACAAGGATACAGAGGAGGTTGATGCAGAGGGAGACAAAGATGAGGAGAAGACAGAGGAGGAATCAGCAGCCAGCGAAAAGACACCATCAGAAGGAGAGACAAAGACAGAGGAGAAAGAAGATGAAGTGGAGGTAAACTACAAATAGTTAAAGTCTGTCCCTAGATGTTCGATCATTTCAGGGAGGAGGAGGGAGGGGGGTAGGGAGGTTGAGAAGGAAGCTTAGTGACGTATTACTTTCCAAGTAGTGACACTTACGTGTAACAGGTCAAAAGAAAACCAAAATTGCCCCAAAGTATTAAAAGCCCAAGTTAAAATGTGTATCAGTTGAGTTGTCATGCCGAAAGTTGAAGAAGAATGGTCCAGAATGAAATAACACCACATTTTTTTTCCTTCTAGGGAGAATCAAAAGAAGCCCCGGCTGAAGCAAAGGACGAACTTTAACCACTAAAAGAATACTTAAGAACTTTGTTAGACTTTATTACAGTTTGGATGCGTTCGAGAGATGGTGCTGTTTGTCGCGGTTGTACAAAAATATGGCGGCCTAAGCCTCTTCGGAATGAGTATATTTATAAGAAAGACGTCAGATTTTCGGGAAAAATATATTGGAGATGCTTTTTTTGTAAGCTGCTTCATGTTTTTGTTTCACCAAGTCACTTAGAATCTTGTAATTTCGTATACAAAAACAATAAAATCGGCGTTACAAAAGATAGATATTTTCCCTGAACCTCTACTGAAGTTGATTCCCTTGTCTGCGCGTGCCACCTTATTGGTTAAATTTCTTGTGCTGTGAATTGCATTCTTGAAAAGAATAGTTTTAGACAAGGTTAATAAAAATTCATTTATATGAAACTGTCTTGAGTATGTACATCTTGAATTACATTCAATTTCCTTGACTTATGAAAGATTTGAACAAGACATACAAGTAATATTATGGGGGGGAGGGATGGTAACAATTCCAGCCAGTTCTACTTCGCACCCAGGGTCTCGCTCTATGGGGAAGACGAGAGATCCTGGAAACGTTGTTAGTTGGGGTTTCCTGGTTAAATTTTCGCTGAGGCAAAATTAGTACTACTGTTGTTTTGTTGGCTGATTCGTACATGTAGAAAAATTGAACTCGAGGTTGAATTTTCACATTTTAAAGAGGGTCAGGTCGTTGTGAAGGTTACGTAAGTTTGTTCCCTCATGACAATCCTTAGTCAGTGACAATGGGATGTACGTAGCAGCTGCTGAGCAGTTTCCTACCGGAATCCAAACCTTGACGATAGCAAGAACTCAGAATCAATATTGAGACGCACTGGCCTGGCGGAAATCAACTCTCGAAGACGCCTTAGTTAACGGTCGACTTCTGACGCCTTCTAAAGCAAGCAGCTCTTTCTCTTTCCCGCTTCCTTTTCCACTAAACTTGGCGCCTACATCAACAGTTTCCAGGGACATGAGTGCGCGTCTGATTGTCTTGGTCTCTGCGTGATAAACGCCTTGTTTTGACGTGCGTATGTCCAATGCGCGCTGGAAAAGTAACTTTGCTTCTCTTATAGCATCTTTCGTGCCTTTAGCTTGAAGAAGCTTCCCTGGAAATTGAGAAAGAAGAGCCTATAAAATTTCGGCTGATGTAGTAAAACTGCGTCGGAAAACAAAAACAATAAAAATACAAGTAAAACTGTCTCAGTCAGCCAAAGCTAAACAGGATTCGTTAATAAATCCAAGTTACGTTGAAGTCCACAAAGTGGACCACGTATTGAAAGCTCTTGGCTCCAGTCCTATGTGAGGTCATTGATTTGAGTAGTTGGACGAGACACACCCAGGAGGGGGAAGGGGTTCCGATAAATTGTTAAGAAACCTCACAAGAGGTGAGTAAAGGGGATGAGTTTCATAAGAAACTGTGGTGCTGCGTCGGTGGGAGAGCATAACAAGGAAATTTGGTATTATCAACTGAGTTGATAACAAATTGGCCAGCGAAGTGCTAGCGCTAGAAACGTCAGCTTTGAAACTTCTACAAGATGTGGATTGGCCTCCCATCCGGGAGGCGAAAAGCTGAGAGGTGGTGGCCATAAAACTTTCATGGTAGAAGCTTTGAAGTCCATATATCGAACCCATCAATAACTTCGCACTTACCTAACTTGAATAATGTATTCGCGACCAGTAAATGTGATTGTCCCAAGAGATCTTCACGCATGTGCAAAGCTCGGCGAAACATTTCCTCCGCTGTGGCGACATCCGGGGATTCTGCTGCGTCTGAACATGAAAGCGAGGCCAATGCATCATAAATCTCAGCAACCAGTGGATGACACGAGCCATACCACTGTTCGCGCATACTGAGTGATTTGCGGAATAAGGACTCTGCGTCTTCCCTTCGCCTCTGCCTTGCAGCTAACAATCCCATATGAGAATAAACGCTGCTTTGGCCTAAGACAGTTTAAAAAAGATAAAAGTGGTAAATTTGAGCTTTACTGACGTATAAAAGAAGGATCAGGGCTGTCAATCGTTGTAAAAGTACAAGGCAACGTCGAAAGAGTTCTGCATGGAGACTAAGTAAATACCAATTAATTCCCTGTTAAGGACATACCAGGAAACATTTGAGCAATTTTCATATGCCTCAATGCTTCATCCAAAATGGTGCCAATGTTCCCTGATCCCATCTCCTCTGTCTTTTCTCGTTCTCTTCCGGAATTCGGTGTCTTCACTCTTCCACTACGAGTAGGTGCTCGTGATCGGCTGTGGACTTCCGGTGGGAGAGGCACGTGACTTGGTAACTGGCAGAGTGCGATACAATTCAGAAGACGACCAATTAGAGCTTCGTGTTCAACCTGAAAGCCAATAAATGCAACCATAAACGAATCAAACTAGTTAACAGGAGGTAATTCCTTAGAAAGTGAGGCGTTTCACCTAGCATTGATATTTCGGTAAAACCCTAATCCATAGTTGAAAGCTAGTACATATAATACAGCTGTTAAACGTCTGCGCATGCGAAAACGTTGATTAAGTATGCTTTCAAGCTCTCAGAATCAAGGTGTTTCACGAGTAACAAACAAACGCTGAAGCCAGTAAGCCACGGTGTTTTAAAAGCGTATAACTTTCTTGGTAAAGCTCAAAACAGAATTGTAAATCATCAGGGAACCCTTACTTACATAAGCTTTCTCTTCGATAAGTCTCTTGGGTTCCTTTTCCCTACTATTGTTTTCATTCCCAAATTTCTATGAAAAATTTCAATTTTCTTTCACTTGTTTTGGTCGTTTCTTGTTTTTTTCCTTTGAATTGTTTGCGCGGGAAATTGGCTTCCGGTTGTCCAGATCTCCTCGCGCATGCTCAACCTTTAAAACACTATGCTACGGCATAAAAGCTTCTTCTTATGCTAGATAAGTTCGTCGTACAATATAACTTCTTAGCCTGACCATTTATACGGAACCTACTGTGCAGTACTACCATGAGGCACTGTTTAATGTGCTGTACAAGGTAGAACTAACTTTCACTCTCAAATGTTGTTTCAAAAATTAGAGTATTAAAGATAGAAAAAGCGTCTCACCAAATCGGAAGTACGAGCCATTTCCCCTGCAGACTTAAATGCACCGTTAAACCAAAACGCCGCCTTGCTTGGCTCAGACAGTTTAAGATAAAAATTCCCCAATGACTCCTGTATATCGCACATCAAGTAAATGTCCTTTACTGAGATCACGGGATAAGCCATCTTGTAGGCGTTCAAAAGAAAGGTGTGTGCCATCTGATCGTGACCGTTTTCCCCCAGAAATTTCCCTGCGAAATAGTGCACGAGCGCTATTTCGAGTTGAGACAAGGCATCATCGTTCGCCTTTCGGCATAACTTATCAATGGCCGAAGAATCGTTCGTTTTAGACGAGGCAGATCCGACTTCTCGAGTAGTAACTTCCTTGGATTCATCTTGCAGTCTCTCTGACGATTGAATTGCCATTTGATAGAGAACCTCTTCAGGCTTCCGATTCGCCTTTTTTAAAACTCTCCAGTATGACTGAAGATCGATTTTTCTTCGTTTTTCACTTGATGAGTTTAGGAGCCTCACGAATACCCTCGGCTCACAAATCGTTTTACACAATGCCTCCATGTTTCCACCCATGTTGAGTTGCCATGGTAATTCGTCCATCGTGCGCCCGGATGAAGGCTGTGTGGAAAAGAGACTCGTGAGAACTGTGTGACCCTGCTGTTTCTGTCGCTCCCAGCTCCCTTTAAATAGGGGTGAGACCGGGCGCTCCTGGGATGGGGAGGTCAGATTACCCAGCAAGGCAATTTCTATGGCACCGCGAGCGGACTGGTGAGGGAAAGTCAACAACCCAGACGGCATTTCAATAAGCACGTGTTCTGCAATCAAACGGAGCATTTCCCAATGAGCCATAGTTACTTCATAGTTCCTCACGTATCCCATGATCATTAAGGCGCTTAAAGCCTCGTGTTCAGATAAACCCTCACGTGATAGGACAAAGAGCCTTAGCACGTCAGCCACCCAGCCACTATTCATACGATCACGCGACACCTGCGCCTTTATGGCGGGAACAGGGCCTCTAGAAACCGCTGGACGCAACCAACCGTACTCGTGGGTCCAACGACGAAATATCAAACTCCACAAATCAAATAGGGTTGACGCGTGTACATATGACTCCAATAACTTCTCGGCGTTCTTGTGCGCACCAAAAACACGCAATTCACAAGCCAGCGCAACGTAATACAACGGAAGATGCGCCAGGCTAGAGGAAGTAATCTTGGAAATCCGGGATGAGTCTAAAAAATTGTAGTTTGACCCTACATACTCCCTTATCAGGTCAGTCTTTCCTCTAACATCAAACAAATGAGGCACGTCGATGCAGTTGACATCTTTACGCTGTGAGAGAGCACGATAGGTCATATCAGATTTGGTCGTAGTAATAATGACTCTGCAGGAGACTGGAACGCAGGATGGAAGCCATTGCATCTCTTTTACTGTAAATGCGGGGACGTCCAAAGCATGCCCCAAGTGGTCTCCTCCGTCTAAAACAATGACAGACGGCCCAAGCGTTAAAGCCGCCCTAAACGCCTCAGTGACACGCGTGAAGTCGCTGAGATCTTTAATGTCGTTGGAGTCATCGAGGTCGGAATCAAGATAATGAAGCCGCAGTTCACTTGTGCAGCGGCGCATGAAGTTGGTGACGTCAGTACTACCGGAATCACAGCCGACAAAGTGAGGAATGGTGACGAGTTGGGGATGACTAGCAGTGATTAGTTTGAGCCAATGGGAAACGAGGGTAGATTTACCGCAGCCACTCTCACCTAAAAACAGCAAAGATTTTGTTTAGAAAGACTTTTTTTACCAGCAGCATTAATTGCAATATTACAAAAAGTGATGAAAACAAAACAACAACAAAAAAGAGACATGTAACTATACATTCAGTCAGATTCAGAGGATTAGAAAACGTGTCAAAAGTGCTGACTAAGCCCTCTAAATCCTAATATCAGTATTCATATTCTCCACAATGTTCTCTAAAAATTTCCTATAGTTCTGACAATGAGTTTTTCTTTAACAATCAAAAACTTCTGTAGTTGGTGATCAGCCTTTCCTCTAAACCCTAAGCTTACACTCTAAAGTCAGTATGCATATTCTCCATACTGTTCTCTATAAATTTCCCAACGAGCTGATAAAAAGCATTTCAATAAATGTATTGGAGCTTTGAGTTGATGGTTATTTCCTTTGTTCTCATGACATTCATGTTTGATTCAGGGTGATATTGTGAGGGGAAATTAAATGCTGGTCACTCTTAAAGGTTAAAAGGTTAAAAGAGCAAAAAGTAACAGAATGTGTATCTTGAAAATTTTGGCCTCAATTTGGTTAATTATGTGACCATCTCAACCTTTTCCACTTTTGTAACATCTTGGTTTGTAAGAGCCTCTTTTGTGACCAGTTATCTTACTCAGTATCTCAGTCTAATGGTAGTTTTATACCACAAAAAAAATAAATCAAATTTCTTGACTTTGTTAATTGAAATATTGTCTGTTTTGCATCCACTTGTCTGATCTACACTTGAATAGAACAAGTCTTTTTATATACCTGCAAGCACCAACACAGGTGGAAGGGTCTCCTTCTCACTGCCAGGAAGACTAGTCATGAAAGTCCCCAGTACTGCAGAAGGTACCATCATACTGCTTCTTCTTTTAATTCCCTGTTCAACCTCCGCATGGAGGCTAAGCACCTCTACCATCTCTCTGATCCTTGGTGTCCTCACAAATACCTGTCGTCGGGCCTCAGCAAAGGCCTCGTGAGCAGACCACTCACGGAAGACTTCTGATTCTGTGCTCCTGAACACATGTGGATCGATTGGAGGGTACAACAAGTCAATGACTGCCATCCAATCTTTGATTAGCAGATCACCCAGCTCCTGTAGAGTTGTATAGTGGCGTACGGGCAACTCTGATGGATAAAAAATAATATTAATATTAGTATTATATGAGACTGATTTGAGTAATGATAGGCTTATTCCATCTCTGTAGCATACATTGACTGGGAGAAATTTCTGCCACAGTAACTGTTATAGCTACCTAATTATTAAAAATACAAAAAGCTTGTTCAAGACATTTAATTTGAGGCCTGTAAGTAGGCTCAAGCAGAGCCTGATAAGCAGAGTAGTGGAGAAGCCTAAGTGACTCAAGCTGGCGAGTAAAGAGAGCTACAAGGGGTCTTGGTCAACACCCTTCCCAGAGGCTTGCAAGCTGCTCGTGAAGTTTGTAAAACTTGCATAGTGACATTTCACAGAAAGGAACAAAGGCATAAGAATAATCAAAGACTCACAAGAATTCCTTGATAATTTTCACATAACTATGATATGTATGTGTACTGTAGTTAATTAAAAAGGTTCATTTTGATCATGGTTTTGGTAATTCTATAAAAAATTAGAGCTACAAAGCCCTCCCTCCCCCCAAATCCACCCTCCACACTTTTGATTTTGATGAAGACTGGTACTGGTTGGTAGGTGGGTGACACTGATCCAGCCAGAGATAAACCTCGGTTTCCATAGCATGATGGGACTGAGAGAACAATGGAGGAGGAGGATGCACACCCCTACCCCTTCCCTATATCACCCTGTTATTACCATTTTTTGATAAAATGAACCAATCCTAACCAGTCACAGAGGAGGAAAAGAAGTACAAGTTGGTATTTAGCTGTGTCAGTTAACAACAATTTAGTAAAATACTGACATCACAAACCTGTATCAATGGTCTGTTGTTTCAGTTCCCTCAGTTTCCTTGCAGCATATTCACTCTCTGGCTTGTAAACTGTCGAAACACTTTCTTTCTGGCTGGGATCAATGTCCTGAAGCTTTTCCTCCAAATGGGTGGGGTTGCGGAAATAGAAGTAACCATAATCATATTTCTTGCGGAAGGATGCTTGTACAATTTCCAACTCAGTGATGCTGTTATATCTAAAAGTAAAGAGATCTGACTTCAGCTATCTGGCTACAAAGTTGAATACTACAAAGTGTATGTTGCATGATCTCTCATAATTCTTTTATCATAATACAGAATAAAATCTATACTCTTTGCAAAGAGTACAGATAGAGAAGTGCCCATTAAGTATTTTTGCCGCAGACAAGGTTTAAATCTCATGTTCTCATAGTAGGAGGGCTTAGACATAGAAGTGCTCAACAGTTTTATCTCCCTACTAACACTCTTACTTTTAAAACCGAATGGAGAGAAACAGTATTTTAAATGATAAATATTCAGACTCTCCTTCAGAGCAGATCATCCAGCAATAAAGTAAGGAGAATTGACAAACTTACAAGCTGAATTCTCTAAACTGGTTTACAATGAAATGTATGGAGACTCTATGGGAGAATAACTCATCAGATCTGTACCTGTTGTCTTCTTCAAGTAACCATTCGTATCCACAAGCAGCAGCCGTCTCAAAGTTCTTGTCCAGCCATTCTTCTGTAGCAGGATCCTTCACTTCAGACTCCGCAGCTCTATGAACACCGTACCTATCTCCCAACAAGCAAATGAAAAACGGAGCACATCGTCCGATACTGTCCAAACATAAGCGGAGAACATGTTCACTATTTTGCTGGGATTGACTCTTGTTCCAGCGCAAATCAACGGGAATAAACGACGTACCACGCTCGTTACATATCTTGTTTAGCTGAGGGAATATTTTCTCTTGCAAGAAGTCACGTTCCGCATGAAAATCCTTAAAAGTTGAGCACACGAAGGGTCGAATGACTTGACGTCGAGCGGTTTCACTTCTCGCCGTACACAAACTAGAGCCGTCGCGTAGTTTTGGCATCGATCACGAAAAAATAAGAGCTAATCAAAAGAATCTCACCGTTTCCTTTTCTCTAAATGAGAATTATTGACAAGACGTTCACAAAATGACTTTATCAAGAGACAATTACTGTCCCCTCAACAGTCGGTCTTTGTTCGAAGAAACACAACAAACTCCAAGAGCAACGAGAATATTACCGAGTACCCACTGGATACTAGGCAACGTTCAGCAAATAAGACCTGGCACGGGTAGAGACGGGAGTTGCACCTCTCACCAGAGCTCAAGAAATTTCTGGATCAACGTGGCGTAAGGAGAGACATTTAATTTCTGAAGCTAATTTCCTTTCTTTTCAAAAATTGTCTATGTGTACATCTTCATATCTTAACGATGTCAACACGGAAACTTTTACCTTAATATTGACCAATCATATCACGCGTCATTGGTTTAAGGCTCGGTCACCTAGCAAAACAGCGCTGGCGGGATTTTTTCAAAGAAGAATATTTTGTAAGAGGATTTTCAATCGCTTTTAAAAGTTATAAACAGGATAAAGGAAGAAAAATGAACAGCCATATAAGAAGACAAAGGTTTTACGTGGTATGTTAAACTTTATTTATCTGTATTTCTCTCATAACTTTGTTTCTTTCCGTGTTTATCAGCCAACTAAATAATCCAACTGTTGTCACTTGTGAACTACAACATTCTAAGTTTCCTGGATATTTTTGTCTGATATGCGTTGTCTGTTTAAGACAATTTACACTATGAATTCAACTAGCCCTTCGTAAACAATAGATAAAACGCATACAACCTCTTTACCTATTGGAATCTATGTACAATTAAAATCAAAACAGTCCTGGTTGTTCTTTTCAAATTCAATTTAAACGTGCTAACATTAACAAACACGTGTTCCACCCCATAGAAGAGAATTGTTTTTGGCAAGTTCTGACTCACCTGAATGGGCTTTGGACTCTAATACTAGGACGTGAGAACCTTTTTTTCTCCTTTTATTTACGTGCTACCACTTTACTCTTAACATCGGGCTTTTAAGTTGCAGTGTTACTTCTCGATTTTTCATAATTTGTGACAGCTCGATACTCGTTTCATTTCTACTTCAAGATGTTCTCAGAGTAAAATGTTTTACTTTGAGAAAGACGTTCATTCATCTACGAATCCATCTCCCAAAATTTACTTAACTATAGAAATATGGATGGTACAAACTCATCCTTTCAGTTTTCATACGTTACAACTTTCGAAGCAATATTTCGATTACTTAAACTCTTTTTTTAACCTTTTCTTCTTCAATCCATTTGATTCGTAAAACTTTATATGTGCAATTGATGATACGAATAAGCCTCCAACAGAACAACTCAGGACAACTTTTGTAAGTGGCTACACCATCACACCGATTGATGGTAACACAACACTATTTCACGAGAATCCTGAAGAGTTTCAATTCTTTCTCATTAGTCACGTCACGCAGTCATCTTCTAAGGCATGTCACCTTTGGCGTGACAAATTTTAAGCTAGTGTATGGCGTCCCTCAAACAAAAGTTCCCTGTAACAGATCATCTTCCCCTCCGTATTCCTCTGTAAAGGAGCCGTCTTCTCTGAATTGCAATTCAAGTAAGCTGATTGAATTGGAGACGGGCCTTGAGTTTCGATTCTGTCTTCTCTCGCTAAGAAAAAATAACAAGACACTATGTCAGTCCGATTTGTATACAAATAATGACTCATAATTATGAGAAATTTTACCGCCTAGTTCAGTTGAAGGGGGATCATGAAAGTGCTATGAAGCCTTTTGGGGGATCAGGTAAAGTTTGTTGTAACAACCAAGGAAAAGGAAACTACCACCCAATCAGAGGTTCTTGATTGTAACTTCTCCTTGACAAGACCATAAGAAATGTGCAGAAAACAGTATGGAGAATATACATATTGATGTTAGGGTGTAAAGGGTTAATACATACAGCGGTGTCTTTTCAGCGTTCTCCGCTAAGTTGTTTGTTTCCTCGTCTTCAACGTTTTCCTCCAATTTTTTTGCTCCGTCTGTGTATCCGCGTTTTCGTTCGCGTTTTCTAACTAGAGAAACGAAAAAACAAGTAAGACTTATGAGAGGTGGGAATGGTATAAAACAATGTCGCAGTCAAAGGTATTTGGTATCAATGTCTGTATCTGTGCTACTGCGGGTTAATTTTGGGTTAGGGGAGGGGTAGCTGCGCATTTGTTCAGTTACTGATATTGATCCGTTCATTGCATCCCTTGGTAAGCTGTCAAATCCTACATTGTAAGACCTGAGTTCCATTAAGCGTGCCAACCCACACACATTCACGAGGAAAAAAATCCTTAACTTAACGGTGTTGAAGGTGTTTGAGATCTGATACTATCTAGCGTGCTCAAGTAGAAAGTTTATTGCAAAGTCACAAAGATAGCAATGAATGTCTCGCGCTGTTCTCCTTACCAGGTGGTAACTGGTAAAATCTACCGCCTGTAGTAACAATCATTACCGCTTAAAGTCGCTTGTAATTTTTGTAAATTCAACTGGTAAAAGGACTGCTCCACTGATTGAAAAATTTCTTTAACCTGTCGTGCTTACAAGAAGGGTGAACACTGATCTCGGCTCAGCTACGAAAATAAGGGAGTTCAGCTTGAATCTGACTCTACCTTGAGAGTTCTTTTAAAAACGTTCCCTGCAAACTATAGCTAAGTAATATCATCATTGCCACTGTAACTACGTTAAGCTCTGATGGTAAATACTAAATAATTTACATAGCCATGCATGACGTTATCATAAGTTACGTTATCAAACGTCACGTTACAATACGTTACGTTACAATATCTTTTCTTTCAATACAAGCGTGCTTTTCGTAACGTTACATCAAACTGCACTTGTTTCCCGCTTCATTACCTTCGTATTTTTTCCCTTTTCCCTTGTAATAGCTTATGAAGAGCAAGGCAAGCGCTGAAATCAGAACTAAATAGGCAATAAGGGCCAACATAATGAGAAACCACGCCTTTTGGTAAATGTGGGTTTTTTTTACCTCTGGCTGGCGTGCACCTGAAGAAACAAAACCATATTTAAACATTTCAGAATTGCTAGAATGTACAGTTTTCGACTGATTGTTGTGTGAACAACACCTAAATCAGGTTCGTTCAAGTTTTCGCCCCCCCCCTCCACTTCCGGGGCCAAAGTTGTGTTCAAATGCCCCACCAAGTGCTAGATTTTATTGTAAATTTTTTTGAAAAGGTATAACAAATGACGGTGGCTTTCTTATAGACCTTTTCTTATGAGCCATCTGCTTGCAGATGTGAACTTTTCACCTTTAAATATTTACCTCCACATTAAAAGATAAGACGCGTTTTCACGCTGAAAAGACTTGACAGTTTTTGTAACTAAGGCAATGTTGAAATTCCCAACCCCCAGGCAAGGACGACAGTCAAATGCTTGTGGGTTGCCCGGGGGGAGGGAGTGTTTAGGCTTCAACTTGATCGATGCATTACTTCAAATGGCCGCGTTTTCCAGGTTTTAACTAGTTTTAATTGATCGTGCTCGGCTGAGAGGGTAAAATTCTGGACCAATCACATAGCGTAATAGAGCAAAATGCATGCAATCCATGATTGTCTTCAATACTTAATGGAAATTGCTAAATTTAATCGAAAAAGAGCCTCAAAGAGATATGTCATTTCATAGGTTGAGAAAATCCAATGAATACGGCTAATTGAGAATGTAAGCAATTATCATAGATTATAATTTCTTGACTCGTCCAGATTGGAAGAACGGAAAAACTGAATGTGCTGAGAAAAGACATCTTCGCAAAGCTAGTTGTATCAATTCATTGTTATTGCCTCTGTGTCGTGAGAAACCTTCATCCATATTGAAAAATAACTACACCCATTTGTTACGAATATTCCACTGAGTGGGTGTCTGTACTCTCTTTTACGAGGCATACATACCAATGTCAGTCTTGGTTCCCTGGCAAGTTGTTTTGACTGTTGAACTGGGTAGGCTTTCACCAACATTGTTAACTGCTTTGATGCGGAAACGAGGCGAAGTCCCCAAGCTTATGTTGAAGGTCATACTCGTTACATCCGATTTGCTAACGTTGTGCAATAAGCTGAAAACCACAGGGTCCTCACCGGATTCCTGTTCAATCAGGTAATGCGTGATTGGAGCACCATCAGTTGAAGGGCCTCGTACCCAGTGGAGTTCCACACTCCAGTTTTTACAGTCTGTTATTGTGACATTAATCGGCGGAGAGGGGACATCTAAAAAAAAAAAGGAAATAAGAGATATGCATTACAAGATGCGATTGGTGTTAATGCCACAGGTGATTACTGAAACCCGAGTTTTATGACATTACGTCAGATACAGATGAAGTCTGTATGGACCCATGGTGAACGGAAGAGTGCGAAATCTGACGATACCAGCCAAAATCGGACTGCACCGTCGAAAACAGACAACTGTCTAAGACTTCTGACGATACCCGGCGTCCGAAAACAGACACAAATATCTGATATCGGATGGTACAGTACAACAACGATCATGAGTGTCCGAAATCAGGATGGTGCCGATCAAAAAACGGACAGGAGTTTTCGAAATCCGACGGTTCCGTCCAAAAATGGACACTAGAATCCGAAATGGACACACGTGTCTGAATCGAACGGTACCGCCCGAAAACGGATACAAGAGTTAGAAATCAGACATTTCCGCCCTAAAAAGGACAAAAGTGATCTAAATCGGATGTTATCGTTCGGAAACGGACTCAGGAGTCCAGAATCGGAGTCCAGTTACCGTCCAAAAATGGACACAAGAGTCCGAAATTGAACGGTGCCGTCCGGAAACGGATACAAGTGTCAGAAATCGGTCGGTTCCGCCCACAAGCAAATGATCTAAATCGGATGTTGTCGTCCGAAAACGGACACAAACTTTATGAGTGAAAACTTTATCAACGTGTCAATGTGTTAGCTGTAGATTAGCTAATTGGGGTCCGAAATGGGACATAATTGTCACTATTCGGACATGATTGTCTGAAATCGGACTGTCTGCCCAAAATATTAAAGTGGTAAATTAATTCGATTACTTACACAAGACACGGAGATAAGCGCTTGCTCTAACGTCAGCACTTACACCGTTGTCCGCCGTACACCAATATCTTCCGGCGTCACCCCGAGAGACGGTTAGGGTAAGCTTGCTTCCTGTGCCCACAGTCCTCCCATCTTTAGTCCATGTTATCTTTGGGATTGGATGTCCAGTGGCATTGCAATGGAACGTGACTTGTTTGTTTTCAACTTTCGATTGGTTCCTTGGTGTGGTGATTAAATGAGGTTTAACTGTAAATAAATATGGAAACGGAACTGATGTATTTGTCACCTCCAGTTAGGTAAACAATGATACTTTTACTCCCAAATATGCTAACTCACTCAGAGAAATACGTTTATGAATGGTTGACAAGAAGGCTATGGACCAGCGAGAAACTCAATTGCTTACGGAAGGACCGCAATAACTTGTCATCTACGCCGCGCGTATCTGCTGAGTTAAGAATCGTTCCCATCGACCTTGGCTCGGTTCTTTCACAACACTTGGTCGTAGTGACCTTCTGGAAATTTCACCTGTACTGTGTTGTTGAATGTATTGCATTCAAAGTTGCCTTTAGCTGCTTGGTTAAAACTCTAGAATAATTTTGATGAGATCCTACGACTTTTCTTTTTTATCGTGTTTTTGCTAAAGATTGGTTCCAAAAGCGACCCATTCATACTTACTCTGTACATTTAGTCGAGCGCTGGCGTTGATGGCCGATCCCAAACCATTATCAGCTGAACACCAGTATTCTCCAGAGCGATTTCTGAACGCAACAAAGCTCAATGTGTTTCCTGTACCGATAGATCTCCCGTCTTTGAACCATGAGATCTTTGGGGTTGGGTTGCCGATGGCACCGCAGTGGAAAGAAGCCTCATCACCTTCTTGGACAGACTGGTAAGCTGGCCGACTTTGAAAATATGACGGAACTGTAAAAATTAAGGAAACGATGTTAGAATTACAACGTTTTAAAGTTTGAAATCTCTCTCTCGTAGAGCTACTATGTATCTGCCCAAACAGGTTAAATCATGAAGCTTCATACCATGAAATAAATCAGAGTATTGCTACCCCCATTGGATGCAAGTCCATCCCAGGCGCAGGTTAACCACCCCTCCCCCCCCCCTCAGATTTCACTGACAGTTCACCTGTACTCGTTTATGCTCCAGGGGAAAGGGGCACCACGAGAGTAAAGATTCTTCCCAGCAACACAATAGAATAACCCAGCCAGGTCACACTCGAGCCTCTTGTCTCAGAAACCAGCGTGCTAACTGTTCAGCCACTGCGTCCCTGAAAGTGCGCGAACAGGCCCGCTGCATTACATTGCAAGATGCTGGTTGGCTTAAGCCCTGAATACGTAGGATACTTACACTGCACATTCAGAAAAGCACTAGCATTGATAACGACATTCAGTCCATTTTGTGCACGGCACCAGTATCTTCCAGACTGTCCTCTCCATGTTGTTTCAAACCTCAGTGTGCTCCCGTGACCAAATGTCTCTCCATCTTTGACCCATGTTATGTTAGGAAGCGGATGGCCATTTGCATTGCAGTAGAATGCCGTTGTTCCTTTCTCAAGCACTGTTTGATTTCTAGGTTTTGTCACGAAAAACGGTAGAACTAGAATGTAACAGTAAAGCAAAGGAAAAGACTCAAAGTAATGCGGTTAAAATGCACACCTAATCGCGGTGGAGCCGAGTGAAGAGTCAGAAATGGGAAGGTTATGACAAATTTGACACAATTTCAATTTTGAAGCATCTGGTATTTAAGCGCAAGGTTCTAGGACGGTTTTAAATTCTGAAATCGTGTTGATTCTATTACTTCTTTGCATTGATCTGGGATCTCTTTTGCACCATGAATACTTTGTCACTAATAGATAAGGTCACCATAAATGGCTATGCAAACCACTCTTTAAATCACATTATTTAACATAAGTATTTACCCAGCACTGTTGGAACTGTCGTTGCAGAAGCCTTGCCCATCATATTCACAGCATTGCAAGTGTAGTTTACGGCATCCTTGTCTTTATCGACGGTCTTTACTACCAAAGTACCGTCTAATAGTAACCTATATCGACTTTTAACGGCTCCGTCTGAGATCTGAACTCCATTGACAAACCACTGAAATTTTGGGCGAGGCTCTGCATTTGGGTTGCAGTGTAATCTGCCCTCATGGCCATGAAGCAAGTGAAAAGGGCCAAAATGGCGATTGTTGAAGGATGGTTTCCAGGCTGAGAAAAACAAATTGTTCCGAAAAAAATAAATTGAAATTATTCATGTTCAGATATTGTGTGATGCTCAACTGACAAGAGCGAAGTAAGATTTTCTTTTTGCTCCAAAGAGTCCTTTTCAAATGAGCGTCCACAATCTAGGATTTTGCTGGTATTGCTTTACTTTGCTTTGTCATTGATCTTGAAAACTCGCGCCGTCTTCGGTATCTATCAAATTCAACACCATAAAACAATTTGCTCCTTGGACACTCGCGTTTCCTTTGTTTGAGGCTTTGGCAGCCGCTATCGTTTGTCTCCTCGTGTTATTTCCCTTTCTTGTACTTGGCTATTATCATGGTGAAATTTATGCTTATAAACATCAAAGGTCAGTCCTTTCTTTAAATGACTTTCCAAAAAGCCATCTTAGAATAGACTACCTTAAAATCACTCGTGATATTTAGATTCATCAAACCTACCTTTCACTTGAACCCAGGTTGCAGACACAATCATACCGTATTGGTTTTCCACAGCACATTGATAGACACCCTCATCGGTCAGATTAACATTTCTGAGATGTAATTTGCTTCCATCCACGATTATCCGATCACTGTTAAGACACAAATGCATGCAGGCTCATGAACCTTCAAAACCCAAAGAAGTTGTACCTGCATTGCAATATTTTGGTTGTTTTCTGGGATGTTGTGTAAATTGCCGTTATAGAGAAGAAAACATCTAAATAATCATTTTTCATGACAGACAGATACTACTCGCGTCGTAGATGACGGTTTTGTCATCTGTGTGTGCTTTGAAGCGTCAAGAAGCGGAACCGTATAAAAACGAGCAGCGGTGCCGCGAGAAGTTTTTCCACTCGCGGCTTTGCTGCTAATCGTTAATTTTCCATGCACCCTAAACTGCTAGCTCGCATGATAATGAGACAACATCAGAGAGGCAAGAGCTAACAAAAACGAAGGACACTGAGGATGTTAAGCAAGTTAAGCTCGGCAAGATGCGAAATCTGTGATTTCAGAAGCACCTTCAAAATGCAATATTAGTTTAATTTTTTGGAAAGTTGAGCCTGCACGTGCTTTGTTTTGGTTTCTGTGGTTTTTTAACAGCCAAATTACAG